TAATTGTTTATCTGTCTGTAATGCAAATAAATGACTTACTTATATATGCGAAAATAAATCTGTTATTATATTAAAAGGTTGAACAGATTTTGATGAAATTTGACATGACTGAAGTTATATCAAGAGGACGGGGATCAGGCTATTATTATGGAAAAACACGGACTAAGTCACGGGTAACAGCAGCAAATAAATAAATGCGTATTAAGATTTACTATACTAAGATTACTTATGAGCATGAATCTAATTGTTACGTGTGTATAAGGATTTTGTTATTTGATCGGAGGTTAATATTCCATTTTCAAATAACATTGTAAATTAAAATAGACATAAATATATAACCTTTTTAACAATAAATAAAAATATACATTTGACAAACTTCGCCACTACTTTACAGATTTTATCACAATATCTTAAAATTTGTACAAGCCTTCAAGTTCATTAAGTTTCTGGAATACTGTCTCTAAACTTCGAATTATTACATTGTGAATAATTATAACTCAAAATGATTAATATTTCCTAAAATATTCAGACAAATTCTACTAGCTTATGCCCATGACAATAAAGCTTAATATTCACAAGTTTACAACTTAATAATAACAAGTTAACGATTTTCCCAACACTCGTAATTTTGCTATTGACGTTGAAAGGCATTTAATAAATTAACCCCTGCAATTTAACGTATATACCTAAATCAACCGAATTTCACAGTATTATGTTGAAAGTTAAGTCTTACATAGAAATTATAATGTACTAACGACCCGTCACGGCTTCGCACGGATACATAACAAATCATTGAATTTCTCAAAAATGTGCTGAAAACTGCATTAAAATCCATTGTGCAATTTATAAGATATAAACGAATAATACGGCGGCTACTTTGTTTTATACTATGTAAAGATACTACAGTTTTGTATTATAAAAATTACAGAATTGTTACTGTCACAATAACTGAAAATACAGAACAAGAAAAATAAAAAGACAGCGTCTGTTGTGTAATGATTTATTACACACCAACTTACTTCCGAAATGACGGACAAGTTGGCAGCCCATCAGGTGCTATATGGCGACCGTTGCCATACTTCACGTTGTCATATCGCTCCCGTCCGATCGATCGCCTGTCCCGCCTTCGATCGATCCCCCGTCCAATTCAAACAGTGATCGAAATTACTACGGCCTGAGCCCAGATTCGAAGCCCTAGCGGTATCCTCAGACTAAATAATATTAATAATAATAAAACTCTTTATTGTTTATACAGATAATACAGAGAAAGTAATAATGAAATAATGAGAAAATACAGTAAATAGTAAAAAAAATTTACAAAAGGCGATCTTATCGCTAAAAGCAATCTCTTACAGACAACCTAGAATAAAGGACTTATGTACATAGATTAGGTAGGTGGCACACATAAGACACTATTTATTATACTACTAAATATACATACTTACATTAGGGATAAATATATAAACCTACATATATACCACATATTGAAAGAAATGAGAAGTAGATCCGTTAGGCGGGAGTCGGCCTTAGCCGCTCCATAAGTCCTTCTGTGGATTCGGAGTGCCATCTACACCCCCCCCTATCATCCGGTGACGCTGTAAAGGACAGCTACGGCCACAACAGCATTAGAGTAGTCCTAAAAACCTGTAATTTCACTGCCTCGCCGTTTTGAACAAATCCGACAAAGCAAGCTGTTGGGCAGCTGAAATAGGTGTCGCTTCATACAAAATCTCATCACATCTTCATCATCATTGTTTCATCATATATTTACACACATTCTTGCAGAAGACTGAGATACTTGTTATTTATTCCTAGACCTTTGTTACCTGTACTTCACTTATAATGAATTACGATTTGTATTTGTTTAATACCCACAATACAAGCATTATTATGTTTATGTTACTTCCTATTCCTGTCCTTGATTATTATTATTATTATAATCATTTATATCTAATACCGAATAATAATAATACCTACATAAATACAAATTCCATATATTTCAATAATAATATTCGCAAATGAATATTAACTGTTGTGGTTTTCTTCAATATCAGAAAAATATGGGAAAACAATATTATAATCAATCAGGGTAAATCCCATTTTATTTATAATGTTATTGAATAAAATCATATGTTGTATACAAAATATACATAAAACTAGTCGACCACGTCAAATTGATATATTTCATAACACATTTTGATCAGTGAATAACCTAATCAACTTTAAAATACTAATTTTTATTTTTTTAATTTAAAAAATATTAAATCTGGAATTACCACCAACACTATTAAAAGTAAAGTAGCGATTCCTATACAAAATAACAAATTTTTCTGCTTTACGTTACTTTGACTAGTTCTTTTTAAAATACCCTTCTGTATAGCGAACAATCAAAAACCACATTCAAATATGGTTCACATATTGGTTTCACATGGTTTTACATATTTGAATATGTTTTATAGTTCTAGGGAGACTAAAGATCAGCAATTTATGTAAGAATAAATTGCCTACTAAGCTTGCATTCTAAGAATATCTAAAACTAAACGTCATATGAATATGGTAGTCAGAGGCATTCTCAACGGTCGTGAACGTAACATTTGACATATCCGTTAACTTAGTACATTTTGAAACCGAGTGGCAGGGTGCTTGCCTACCTAGATAAAATTTTGGATTGATATTAGTGTTTCCTTCATCGTAGTCTGTCTGAAAAGTAAATTATATATATATTTTTTAATTTTTGAGTTATTCAGTGTAATAAACCACTAGGACTCTGTACTCCAAAACTTAATCTGTTTTAATAATCATTATTTTTAAATCTCAAATGATGATGACAACCATAATAGGAGCATTATACAGGATGTCGTACGTACTCGACGCAACGCGAGGGTAGAATACATTGCCATGAAACTCGACCGATTTAAATTGCACTACGACCTCTAGACATCTTTAAAAATATGAGGACACCATTCTTAGCAGGTTTTTAATATTCTAGACCGAGCCTTCTGAATTGCAAGTCTTTGAATAGATTGTAATATGTTTTCACTTGTAAGAAATGTAGACCACGTAATCTATATCTAATACTTATTATTGCTTGTAAGTTTGTAGTGCTCTCAAAATATCTTTCAAATGAAATAATTTTACATATCTAATTATAAGTAATAATTCGTTAAGTTCTTAGTTGAAACCGTTATAACAGCAACTGCTGACAAAAATATCTTCGTTGTACTAAAAATGTATCACTCTAACAATTAAAAATATTCCAAGAAAGAATCGCAAGAAATATGATTGACACGACCTAGGAAATAACGAGTTTAAACAGACAAGAAAAAGGTATGCTTGTTTTTATTAATATAAATAATATTCTTGTAATCTTTATTCCTATTCAACACGGCCGCTGTTAAAGTACTCCAGTGGGAAATTAACTTGTTTATAATGAAAATTCAACGGTGAATCCTATCTTTGAGTCGATGGGTTTTAAATTTGCGGTGCTCCATTTTATTGCAAGGACACATCTAGTCAACCCCATTCAGAAATATAAGAAAAAGTATTTCAAATTATTAAGAGATGTTTATGAATTACTTTATTATTAATGACCATTATGCGTTTAGTATAACTTTCGTGAAATACGCTAATGAATATTTCATTAGCGTATTTCGAAGTTGACACTAATACCGATTTTTCTTGCTTTTATAAAAGAAATGCGGTCGGAGACTGATCGCCTCTCGAATATACAGCTAGAAAGAGATTGGAACTGGGTCTTTGCAGTCTCCTGCTGCATCTTCTTGATTTCTCCTGTAGCTCTTCCATTAATTGCAACCTAATAAGCAAGTGTTCCCACAAATATCGTCTCGTCACTCGTATCAAATTGTAAGGAAAGAAAGCTTAAGTGCTATAACTTAAATCTAATATATGCGACCATAATAATTGTTGTCGCCTTACATCAGTCTCCTCTCTCATTCAAACGGGGAACACAATTATAAGATAGGAGTGAAGTAACCTCCCCGGAGCGGGTAGGGTACCCTTAGACTTAAGTGTTATCCGTCAAGCAGTAGTTAGCATTCAGCCGTTCCAGAAGTTAAGTCCTTTCGCAAGTTATGATTACATTCTGCGCTCGCCCCCATTTTCATCCGTTAAAGATGTAGGTCAGCTACGGCCAACAGCATTGGGATAGTTCGAAAAAAAAAAATTGCTTAACTTCACACTACGGGTTTGTGTAATTCACTCCATATAAGTGCAAACCCTGGTCCTATTTAGATTAATAACATTTCGTTTTCCTTGTGTATAACACTTCCAAACTCATAGTAATTTAAGGCACGCGAGATGCGTTACTCTCGCCATTATGCGGCCCATTTGTAAGATATCTTTATCTCGCCCACGTTGCTCATAGACGTGCTACAATAAATGAAATTTATTATGTGCGAAAAGCTCATTGTACGGTAACTCTCGTGTACTTATGTTTTCTGTGTTTAAAATTTACAAATATAACAATAGCATTTTAATCTATAAAAGTATATTTGCGTGTAGTTATCATTATTTTTATGCTATATGATGTAATGGTAATCTCGTCTGCACTAACGGGGCACTAGTGAAGGATGAAAGTATGAGGATCAAATCAAGTCATTTAGGAAATTGTAGCGAATATGCTAAGAATTGACCACGTCGTTTCCGCATAACAGTTGATCTGACCTAACAAGACCGGTAATCCTTATGTAAAGTTTGATTTCATGAGCCTTCATTGATCTTGTTATCAGCTCCTATTTTACGGCAATTGAACTGACGCTTATCGAAAATTGAGTATCGTGGTAATCAAATATTTTATAGGGTTTTAAAAATGCAGTGGATTGATCCACTATAATTTTAAAACACTTTAAGAGACATACTTGCAACATCCTGCCACTTTACAAGGGGCGTGCTTAAGTGTTTTCTTTAGGTCATTTCAGGTCATACATAAATCTAGATTTATGAAGCACTGTTTAACGAACACCCTTTGTTTTTGTTCACAGAGCCGTCGGTAAAACCTGCCTGCTCATCAGTTACACGACAAATGCCTTCCCGGGTGAATACATACCCACTGTGTAAGTATATATAATACAGTTTTTTTATGTATGATAATACAATGATACACCCGCCTGCGCTGGCGGTGTACGCTGGCGTGTCACCAGTAGATGATAAGAGTATGATTACGTTAGCTAGTTAGATGGTTTTCTGGGGAAACGGCGTGGAGATCAACCTGACATAACATTGCCAGCTACAGGGTCACTATTTATGAATAACATTCTCTTCCCCACCCCTACAAAATCGGGTCATCCAGTCCTTAAATAAAGAAGTGGAGGAACATGGACATGGAAGGCCATGCTCCTTATATGACCGGTAATTAAAAAGTCGTACTTATACGTCGTCGTCGTATTAAGAAGTTAAACTAATTTCCATTGAACTCAGCTATTTTGTAGGAAGTGAGCGGACGCTGCCCGTTGTTCGTTTATTATAATGGTTTTCCATAGTCCATTTGGTCATACATTCAAAGCTACAATTAGCAGACTTCGTCGAGCCTGCTTTGAGGCTGAAGAAACGCTGTTCATATTAAGCCGGAGAGTGCAGTTGTTACTTCCGATGCACATGTCCTCGTAACAGTCAGGTCGTTTCAAGAAGGTTACGAAGCATTTCTGTCTTTAGTTTTCATTTAATAAATTTCTTTATTATTCATAGCTATATACAGCATCGCTGCTCTCTTAGAATAAAGCGTGTGTTACTCGCTATGTAGTTAATTACATGATTTTTTAATTGGTCAAGTATTTTTTAAAAGTAACGTTCAAAACATCTATTTTTTTTTTTAATTTGTAATATTATCATATATATGAAATAATGTAAGTTTTTGGTGCTTGCAGATTCGACAATTACTCAGCGAATGTGATGGTAGATGGCAAACCTATCAACTTGGGCCTATGGGATACGGCTGGTCAAGAAGATTACGACCGTTTACGGCCGCTCTCGTACCCACAGACCGATGTCTTCCTTATATGCTTCTCACTTGTCAACCCGGCCTCCTTCGAAAACGTTCGCGCTAAGGTAATTAAAATTCCAAAATATTTTTTATAGTTGTGTGTGTATTTTTCTTGAGGTTGTCAGCGGCATTTTTATTTTTTGTGATATGATTAGGGCATGGTACACTCGCACGTGTTAACGGTATGCGCTGGTAGGACATCAAGTTTAGTCTATCATGGCTTATAAAAATATTTAGATTTGATTTGATTGGTTTTTATGAAGGTCTCTCTGACGTGGTACCTTATTTGGGCTGCAATAGGGCTACTATACCCTTAACCTGCTCCCCCCCTTCTTCCCCCTATATCAGAGGCATTGTAAGCTGTCGACGTTATGATGAAAGTAATATTTGACATGCCAACATTTTCCTATATATATTTGTAATATATGTGGTGAGCTTCGGAATATTTAGATTTTTGGAGTTTCCGTTATTGGATAGTTGTATACTCGAAAAGACATAAAGATAATAAGTATATAAGGGAGAGGATGACAAAAAAAAATAGACGGAATGTGTAAAAGATGATATGTATAAAAGGAGAAGGAGAGAGAAGGTCAGATATGACGCCTGATAGGGATCAGTGGAAGAAGAGGACATACTGCGCCTTTTACAAATAATGAGATAAAAGCAATTAAATAATTTATATTATAATGATTACATATGATGCGTCTAATATATTCCTGATCAATAAATTTTGGATTCGCAAATAACATTGTACGAATTAATGAAAACATTCCGCGCTAAAATCGGAGTGGCGGATTTCTTCGCATAGTTTTATATGCATATTTATGAGTTAGATTTATGTGAACAAACAAAAGAATACATTAATTTAAGTATCTAATAATAATGATATAATATGTTACGTGATGATTTTGCAAATGTATTCGAAGATGTATGCATTTGAGTGCTATGGCTGTTATTAAAATCATTTACGTATTTGAAAGTCTGAATGCCATGAATGTTTGTACCGAAATTAAAACATATTGTAAATATAATAGTAATAATGGTCGTAGTAGTCGAAATTCGAAATAATTTATTCACATATTTGTTGTCTCTGTACTTACAGAAAAATTTTTTAATAATTGATTTATAAACTTATATATTAAATTAACTTCTGTTAATAGTTATTAACACTACTCTTATTTATTAACACTAGTTTTTAGGCTGGTAACCTAGTTCCTTGGGGGTTATTTCTGGAGCATAGGGGCTTGCCCCGAAGCTTCAACCTGCACCCTCTAGGGGGATGCGGAAGACATGTCTGTCTGTCAGAAAGTGGTTATTTTCTATCAAGAATTTTGATAGTTGTTTGAAGATTTTTATTTTAGTGTTACTAAATTTTTTAATTTAGTTATTTTTACTTTTGATAAACTTGCTTAGAATTGGCATTTCAAATGACGATGCTAAATTGTTTAACAAATAAATGATTTTTAATATATTCCAGTGGTATCCCGAAGTAAGACATCACTGCCCATCGACGCCTATAATCCTAGTCGGTACTAAACTTGATCTTCGCGAAGACAAGGACACAATTGAGAAGCTGAAGGACAAGAAATTGGCACCTATTACGTACCCACAGGTAAAAATATGATCATTATCCTAACTAAATTTATGATTTTATTATAAAGATAGATTTTTATAACATAAAGTAGATAAAGTATATGCATAACATAAAATAGATTTGAAGCAATTTTAATAATTATTACAGCTGTGAATTACGTCTATATGTATATTTTATATTATACTCATATATACAAAAGTCAGTTTGTTCAATGTCACCATTAAATTTACCATATAAGTAGCATTTTGGATGCAAAAGCATATATACTTTTTATCCAGATCCATTATGGTCACACTGATGAAGTCGCGGTCAAACTGCACCTCTCCAATCAATACCAATTAATACGGGCTTCGGAATTACTACGACCTGAGCCGAGGTTCGAAAGCCTAGCGGTGTCCTCAGACTAAAGTCGTATACGTCGGGCAGGAGTTGGCCTTCAGCCGCTCCATAAGTCCTTCCGGGCGTTTGGAGTGCCATCTGCACTAGCCACCTATCATCCGGCGAAACTGTCATTACAAACTGCCAAACAGCATTAGAGTAGTCCGAAAATAAAACAAAAAAAACAATTATAATAACAAAAATATAGAAGGATATACATATATTGATGAGTTTGGCTCTTATTCCAGGGTCTTGGTATGGCGAAAGAGATCACGGCAGTGAAATACCTGGAGTGCTCCGCCCTCACGCAGAAGGGTCTGAAGACAGTGTTCGACGAGGCGATCCGCGCCGTCCTGTGCCCCTCGCAGCCCATCAAGTCGCGAAGTCGGAAATGTAGTATTCTGTAATTCCGCCGCTGAAGGTTGCGTTACATGGTATGTGTTCTCACAACATGTTCTCCCAGGTTTTTTCATGAGTTTGAGAGAGCATGGGATTTTTCTAGGTTATATTAAGTTTTCTTAAGGGTCAACAACGCGCACGTAGACACCCCTGGTGTCTCAAGCTCCATGGGCTACGGTAACCATTTACATCAGATGGGCCGTATGGTTGTTTGGCACTATTTATTTTTTCTTTATTGCACCAGAAATATATTACCAAGAACATAAACAGATAGTAAGTAGTGAGGCACAAAAGACAGTCTTATAGCATAAGCAACAGACAACCTTTATTATCATAGTATAAAAAAAAATCTCTGCCTCGGTGGTCTAGAGGTTTATCACTCCGCCTTATTTCAATAGCCGAGAAGTGACGGTACAAACAAAAAAGAGTATGATTGTTTGTATCGGTCTGGGTGTTTACTATATATATTATTCACAAAAAAAAGTGTATGTATTTGTATCAGTTGTCTAGTACCCATAACACAAACTCTGCTTAACTTTGGACTAGATGGCGCTAGATGTGAATTGCCCAGGGATATTATTATCATCATATACGGTTTCGCCGATTAAAATTACAAAATATGAGGCATGACACCTTAGTCATTTGGAATAGCAACGCAAGAGTGGTATCACGGGTGTCACATGATAACGTGATGCTCGTAGTCCAGTTCATGTATATGAGCGACGATTACTATTTGCGACTTACTTTAGAAAATATTTACAGGAATTCTAGATCTTAGTAGTCTCCCGGATATAGGAATAGAGATCGAGAATTTTATGTTTTTAATGTATAAACACAAAATTTAGGTCGCTACTGTAATTGTATCTGGTCCGAATACTATAACTATATTAATAATGAATATGTTTTTTTTTTTCAGATCGTGTAGACGTACATGGAAGCAAGTGTAAACAGCATAGCTTATAAACATATAGCGCACCAAAAGAACCGTCTAGCAGTTGGACACAACAGTGTGCTAAACAAATGGACTGCAATAAATGCATACTTAGACGTTAATTTTTACTGTTTAATACATATTATTAATTGTAACGTGGGTTGGTGTGAGTGGAGTCCGTAATGTAATCGCTTTTGTATAATCCGAATGAATTTTATACGGTCTGAGGTGGACTGAGTCTATGGCACTTGTAATTTTTTAATATATGAAAGTAGGCAACAACATTCATCGTATGCGGTTTAAATAGAAAAAGTTAACCTACTTAGTTATGCCATTTGTATCCCGTTTTTTTTATTGGACGCTTTGCCCTCACGCGATGGGATCTTACAAAAGTTACATTCCTACATTGTTGCTGAAAATAAACTTTATCATTCGGTGCAAATTGTTCTTTCTCTCCTATATATCTTAATATCGGTGATTAATATGGAATTGTTGAAATTTATGTTAGACAGAGATTATATTTTTCGATTTATTATTACTTATTTTTGTTTCCCATTGTTGTATTTCATGTCTAGGTGTCGATAAGTACAGTATTTGTTAAGGACCCATTTTATGATTTGAGCTCGTATAAAACAATATATGTAGGTCCATTTTGTTGTTTTCACAATTAGAATGTAATGGGTTAATTTGCTTGGGCTTCCGTCAAGGCTGAGGTGTAAGGCGCCACACACTTTTACGCACAACGGAATATTGCGCCTGTTTGCGATTTAGAGCCTGTAAATATCAAAATTTGTATGAAAATTTGTCAACTCACGAAATTAGTGCGCTCTCGACTTGCCACTGAGCTTGATATTATCGCTTTTAGCCGGTATGGAATCGATATCTATGTATTGGGTTCGAATAGAAGGTACAGATATAAAAACTATATTTCCAGGTCTATGTGTAAATAATATCACTAGAAATCTATGGTTCATTGAGAAATCATACTAAAACAAAGTAATCACTGATTTCAAACGGTCAATATAAGAATATCGCTAATACGCAGATACGACTATAGCGTATATATAAGAGTGCACATCCACACTTAGGCATCAACGGGTGAACCTATGACTTATATTTAATAGAAGTGCCAAGTGGTCTAGACAGATATTAACGCAACTGTATACGCAATATCTAATACGAGGTTTGGATATTGCAAAATCTCTATCGGATATTGGAACCGATACATAGATATTGTAACGGTTTACGATTTGCCGCTCTACGCAGACCGTAGCATAAAAGCGTTCCAGTGTTTTCATCTTATTATTTTTTTATAATGTTGTCAATGTTTGATATGTTATGACAACATTTATAACTATTATAATTGTTTTGTAATATTTCTTTTTAAGGAGTTATTACATTATTTATAAATAGGATCGTAATCTATTACTTTCTTGAACTACTCAGATTGTTTCAGTATAAAATTGCAATACCTTTTTATACTTAAGATATAAATCTAGGAAGAACATTATTGTTTCTTTTCACTTTCATATTGAATATATTCTTATTTAATATTCTTTATAATGTAATAACTCTTTTACTAGAAATGCCGATTTAATTAAATAAATAAATTTTTAAATCGTTTACTTTTTATAAATTGTCCTCAGCTTTGATTGAATGTTAGTAACCGGATACTCGATATGTATGCCTGCGTGTATGAATGGTCAATACGTTAGATACATATCGTCGATGGAACTAGTTAAGCTGTAAGGGAGGAGTGGCGTCGGCAATTAAATCGAAATCTTATTGATAGTTCTGTATAAAAATCGATTTGTCCACCGATAAACGATTGCACAAACAATATGTAGCTAATCTCTGTGATTAGTACAATTTGCAGCTATACGCTTCGCTTGGCGTTTTATCGATTACTTTTTAATCAGACGGTGATAAAAATCTGATAGCGATCATTCGTTGTAATTTTATCCGTCTCATTAAAAATTAAATCGATATATAAATTGAGAGTGCATTGTATAAATGATCCGATGTACTGTGTATCGCACAACTCTAGCATTATTCGTTGATGTCGAGTCCTTATGGATGCCTTCGAGGACGTTCGTTTCGACTCGATTTTGTGAACTAAAACTACATTCCGGGACCATAACATGTTGGAACTGTAATCAATTTAGTTTGTATAATAATTTATTTTGAAAATGGAATATTTTAAACATGGAATTTAGCATATGAATATTATGAAAAATATTTTAAAAATCTATGGTATTTTAGGGTTCCGGAATGTAGTTTTTAGTATTTATGGGAGATGGCATTTTTCGCTGAAAATGTGATAACGGATTTAGGCTTTAATTGACTGTCATGAATATTAGACGGCCTCTAAGCTTTTTGGTATCTTTTGGTTTCTTTATATTTTATTAATGCTTTTCACTGTTTTAATTAAGCGTTACAGCATTTTGTATTATAAAACAAATGGCACTAAGTTAATTATTGTCTAAATCCACTCCTAATGTATGTTAAACTAAGATGAAATAGTACACGTAAGTCTTCGTTTAAGGTGTGCAATTGTTACTGCTTGCTTCGTATTATAACACGCGTGTAGTGTATCATGTATATGTACCATAATGATGCCATAGACACTATTTTTTACTCTGTAGAAAAAAAAAGATACTTCTATAATTTTATCTATGATCTAATAATGGAAGCACCAACAATTGCACAAAGCATACAACTTATGAGATAACATTTTAATGTATGTATTGTTCAGATGCAAATATTTAGAAGAATCAGAAATGTAAATAACGATGATTTAGTATTAACTGAAAATGTATATGCCAACGCGCCATTTTGCACGGCGACGCATTTTTTATATAACTGAAACCATTGTAGGGGCTTGACTATGCATTTTTATATAAGTTGAAATTGTTAATAAAATTATAATACTTATGTATTTCAGTAATTGTTTCTTTTTCTTGTATGTAATCTAATATAAGAGATTAATTATAACAATATTTTATTATAAGTATTATATTGCATTTGATTTCACACGCTATCAACAGGTATGATTTCTTTAATTTCTATAATGAAAATAGGTTTAAAATAGGTAGCTATTGGGTAAAGAATTAAAACTACGTAGAGTCAAATTAAATCCTTCATATACCAAAATGAAATGAACCATATTCAATTAATATTTAATTGCTCGTCAGCCTATATAGTTTGACATAATTTATCATAAAGTGAGAATAGATAAGACGGTTTATCTGCTATCAAATAAGTAACATTAACTTTTGCCTTTGACGATTTAATTCTATATGACCTAATATATCTTGGCTTTTGACATAAAGTGGAGATTTCATACATATTTAATTTTGTCGTGAAAAGTACATCTACGGATTCTAACTTTTACGAAGGTACAGAGACAAATTACTGTATCAAAAATAACTACATACCTACTAGTAAACAATAAAATATTTTCAAAGTTAACAATTTGTAATACAAAAATAAGCAAACTATATTAGTCATTGTTAGCTTCGTTATAAGAATCAATTTCGGATGCAGTTTAATGTGTCTTATCACTGGCTATGGTATATGATATACACGTACGAGTCATATGTTATCGTAAATTGAGTACTCAATAATAAAATAACAGTATAAATATGCTTTTATTGTTTGCATAGACTATAACATTCGCTAGTGGCGCCACTTTCTGCAAACATTGCATTTTTTTAAATGTGACTGCATGAAGTCGATTATTTTTGATGATATTTATGTATTCAGCATTATTTCCATTAATAACCTGATTAAAAAGAATCAGCATAACTTGATGAAAAAGCTGATTATTAACGAATTAGATTCAATATGAAATCACATCGAATACATATTTATTCAATTGTCCATTTTATGGCATAAAGTTGTATTGTAATTTCTGTATTTTATTATTTGATCCATTCTTTGTGATTTTATTTGGTTTCTCATTCTATTACGTATATAGTTTGCTAATTGAACGAGCTTTGTTGATTCTTTTTTGTAATTAACTTCTTTTCAAGTCTGCTTTAGATTGATGGTGTCTTAAAATAAAAGTTATTTATTAATCCTCGATATTTCATTGTTACAAGTTTACAGTCTTGGCTTGACGGTCATAAATAACAATATAGCAATATATAATATGTACAAACAATATATTTTAATTTCATACATAATAAAATACAACAAAGTTTAAATGCCGTTGTTAGCGTGTGAGTAGTACTAAAGGCCTGTATACATGAAGGATATTTGTACACAACATAGCACAAAAAATATATTACCTTATCAGCTAGGTACTCGCGGACACAGATGATCACTAGGTGTTATGTTTTGACACATAGAACGCCAATATTTGTCCGTCGTGTACACAGGCCTTAAGTCTGAATATGTAATATATTCTGCCATATAATTATACTGACACAGTGTATCTATCAGTGTTCCACAGATAATAATTGCGTAGCTAATACATGATGTATAAATAATTTTTGTAATTCAAATAGCTTATTTTAATGTTTTTAACATGATACAAAAATCGAATAAAACAATATTTATTCAAATTAAAATATTCTAAATATACACAGAGTCCGTAATCCGCATCAGCGTTGCAAATGTTCTAATTTGGCGGGAACACCTGCTGTTTGGCAAAATGAAATTTATACTTGAGGTTTCCAAATACTGCTTAGCCCGAAAAAAATTGTAACGTTGATCGGTACTGACAATTTTATGGAATGTAAAAAAATGCATTTATCCAGTAATTTACTCAAAGATTGAATTATATATGGCAAATTTGAAAATAATGTTTAATAGCAGTTTTAACCAAATTCATACATAAGAGCTCATAAAACAATGCCTTCTTATTGATCCCGCCTATTTTAACCCATGGTAATCCTTAAATGGCTTGTATAATATTATTTTTATACAAATTAATTTGTATAAGAAATTGTGTCGTGTATAAATTCAAACGATAGATATTTATAACGCTGTCGGTAATTCTTCCAAATATTGTAAAGCCTCTGAATAATTCAAATTATATTTATATTAACTGTTCAAACTGAGTTTTTAATTTATTCCATACCTAATAACTTATCCTATTAGATTTTCCTAACTAATTATCGCTAATATAATAGTTTATTTAATAATAGCTATATTATTAAATATATATTTTTATTTTTTAAATAATAATAATTATTATAATAACCCATCGCACTTTAGTCACAAGTTAAGCAAAGTTCTGTTATGGGTACTAGACAACTGATAAAAATAATTATATACACTTTTTTCTGATATACTATATATTAGATACAGAAACCGCCCAGTCCAACATAATCATACTCATGAATACAAATATTTGTATAGTGTGAGGAATTGAATCCGCGACCATCGGAAATATGATGGTATGCTAAACCGTTAGATTACTGGGTCAAGTAAGTCATTATCTTTTAGACAAATCGTTATCATTTAGATGCATTGTTTTTCTCAGAATAAGATAAATAAATCCGCCTTGAAGTGATTATAAATGTGTGCTCATTGCAGTAGGGGTTCATTCTCATTAAATTGTAAATAAGCTATATAGCGACATCAGTCGTAGTGATGGGAAGTTGTAATCGACGTCTATATCGTGAGTAAATAACGAGTGAGAGACTCATAACAAATGCTACGAAAAAATAGAGACGTCCTTCTTGCCTCAGCTTCGCACGGGTTTGAGCAAAACCCCTTTTTACGAAAATTGTGCGGACGGCGAAGTATGAAATTTCGAACAATAATTGGAGTGCAGAATGCTAATATTTTTTTTAATATGTATAATAAATATATTCAATAAATAAAGAAAACATTACACACATTACCATGTATTTTACACACAAACATGCACATTATACACTTCTGTTTATTGACTTTGATTATAGAAGTATAATCTTTGACAATAGAACCTTAATAGTGTTAAACTTATAATTTAAATTATAAGTTTACCTTTGTCGAATTTCGACCACTAGTTTTAATTGATTTACACAAAACTATTGAATTATACACCTACCTTCCTCAGAAGTCACTCTGTTAATGGATGAAAACTACATTAAAATCAGATACGCCAAAGAAGGTTCCCCCTTGATAATGTGATTAGTTACGAGTGCAAGGACGGCTGCGTAACCTCATTACACTCCAAAAAGGTTAGTTATTAATTATTTATTTATGTTAAATTGATGACTCGTCGCTATAGACAATAATATGTCAATGAAGCACACGCATTGACATTGCAATTTGCATGTTTATAACATCAGATGACCTCGATAATTGAAATAACTACCTACTATTCTATTTTGTAAACGTGATATTGTTTTCGATGGCCATATACAAATGAAAAAAAATACACACAGCATGGTGACAATCTTTTATAATGGAATCTAGTGTACTACACTCTCGACCTAGAAGTGTAACCATAGGTAATATCAAATATTATATCTTACTATTATTATAAACACGAAAGTTTGTATGGACGGATAGATGTTTGTTACTCGTTCACGCAAAAACTACTCAACGGATTTTGATTAAACTTTACAGTGATATAGTTTATAAGTCAGAAAACACATCAGGCTATAAAATTCATGCGGGTGAGATCATATGATGACATTTATAGCTAGATTAATATATGGTGTGGGGGAAAGACATGGTACATTGCTAGCAATGTACCATGTCAGGTTGATCTCCACGCGGCTACCCCTAGAAACCATAGCGGTAAATTGCCATTTGTTATTTGCAGATGGTCTAGCTGATATAATTTCATGCTCATTTTATTATCCTCCACTGGTGCGCCGCCAACGGAAGTCGTCAGCGCAGGTGCATCATTCCATTAGCATCCATTTAAAAAAATATATAAAAAGTAATATAGTATATGTATACTATATACTTTTTACCAGCACGCAGGCAGCGCCTTGGGTTAAAACTAGTAATATATATTGTGAAGCTTACTCTGTTACCAATTAACGTTTTTGTGGCTGAACTAATCGTCATGAAATCTAGTTTTATGGCAATCCCTACAAATAGGGGCTTTAGGAATGAACCACTTTAGGAAAGTTCGACCAAGCCGCTATGTATATTTTTGTAAATACCTATGCCAAAACGGTATCAGTAAATTAGTCCCTTTGTTTCTTGCAGTTTGTTAAGTCACTTCTAATTTGGTTGCCATAGAGTTGACGGTTCGGTTTTGCTTTTTTTTTTACGGAATGAAGTAGTTTTACATAATGGTTATTTAACTCGCACCAACAACAGTAACGCCGATAATTTACAATTACCTACTATTTGAAATGAAAAAGATCATAAACTGCTTTATATCCCGTTCAATGGATATATTTAAATCCATAAGAAAAAACATAGATTAACCGAAATCAGTAAAAGCCAGTAAACACTATTATCAAATAAAATTGCGATTAAGGAAAATGGGGTCAAGTAATCGCGGCGACTGTATTTCTATGTGATGTTATGGCGTATTGGTAATTTGTCTGTTCGATAAAACATTGTATTTAGTTAATAATAACTATGCTTACAACATGTTATGAGAGATAACACTGACTCAAGTAAAGTACAGTCTATCGCAATGGTATAATCGTTCGTTTTGAGCCAGTCGTTAGTGACGCACTGCCAGTGAGCAGTCCACTGCGTCTGCGCACTTTATTTCTGTAAACAAAGAATTAACACTCGCGAATATTGACTGTGTTTTATATAAAAAAATGGCGAAACTATTGAGTAAAGAACTCCCGGATATTGAGGTGAGTACTGAGTGTCCACTTATTCATAATTGTAATCAGCAGTTTTAATTTTGTATCAGTGTCAATGTCATTTATTTGTGGTTATTCTCTTCTCTAATTTAACATTTAGTGCTGTTGCAATAAGGCTGTAATTATATTAAAAATTAATTGAATGAAACATTAAGGAGAGAGGAGCGATATTTGTTTATATCATTTAGCGATTTTTAAAAACTAATTTCATTTTTATTTTTGCTAGTACAATACGAAATCCTGAAACAAGTTAATACAAGTTAAACCTTTTTTTTTATATGACGTGTACGTTGAGGCTTCAAGATTATTCACAAAGTTTCATCGAAATTAGTTCAGCCGTTCAGTCGTCAAAGTCAAGGATTAGAATAAACACTTTTATATTCCTTATATTCGTAGATAAAAACAATTGCAATAATAATTAGAAAGGTACCACTACCTTGTAACTCTATCCAATACCTAAAATCTAATAAGATATAAATGGTTATTCGTAATCGTGGTATTAACACGAAATGCAGGTAAAGGTAAATGGATATCTTAAGTAAATAAATTATATAAAAAGATATTTTGAACTTTATGTACTAAAATGACAAGAGCTAGTAAATGTTAGGGAAACCCATATCAATATGGATACCCAAAGTAAGGGTCATAACAAAGAAGATATCTAAGTACTACGTGTTGTTTTTAAACTAGTTAACTAGTTGATTGACGGTTCCGCTTACGCTCTTAGTTTGTTATACAAATAAGTGTATAACAAACAAATTGTTACGTTAAATTTAAGTAAAGATACATAGATAAAGAAAGACGTAATAGATGCCTATCTTTACAGTTTCCCTATGCGATACTTTACGTTCCGATAACTGTATATAGGCTGTCATTACATGCCAGGGTGGAATGGTAAGTAGGTGGTTGTTGGTGGATAAAAATCCCACACACCACCAAGCCGTCTTAGTAGCCGGTGGAGTGTCGGTCTTGTGAAGATTTTCCACACGTTAAAAAGGCTGGTATAATCTGGTATTAATTACTTATTTATAGATTTCAACCTTATTAATGTTATAAATGTGAAGGTGTGTCTGTTCGCCTTATGACGAAAAAACGGCCGAACGATTGTTAACGAAATTTAACGTGAAGATAGATTCTGTCATGAGGCTGTTTTTTATTTCAAAAAAGTAGATGAAGTCATCAGTAATAACCAATTCATTCTTTTTTACAGAATCTGTTAAGATTGAACCCAACAGTGAAACAATATTCAAATGTGGTGCCATCTGCGCATACGAAAAAGAACAAGCAACACTGGAAGAGGAATACAGATAGAAAATGTACAGTAAGTAAAATAACAATAGATACCTGTATCGTGTGTATTCCTGGCCAATATATATACAAGTGTTTGCACTTTCAAATGTAATATTTATATATACCTTTAATATTTATATGTACAATTAATTCCTTCAAATAGATATCTTTTTCTAGCGATAAATTCGTTGAAATGATTATTAATAAAATCGGAGTATCTCGTTAAAATAAATAAATATTATAATATTTTTATGAGGTTTGTAGTCTTTACATATTAGTATAAAATTAAGTCCGCTGTCTGTTCGCTTAGATCTTTTAACTACGTAACGGATTTTAATGCAGTAGTAAGCAGTAGATAGAGTAATTGAACGTTTATATGTATAAGGTACACACGTACGGAGCCGGGGCGCGTAGCTAGTAATATATATAGTTCTAAGAATACAATACATACCCACATCTTCCCTGGAAAATATCTTGGTTAAGTCTTAGCGATTTAGCTACAATGGGCTAATTGACCTGATTTGATCCTTCATTAGTGCCACCAGCATATACCATTAGCGCTGGTGGGTGCACTATCGGATAAATGATCATGATGGTTTCCAGGGGGAACCGCGTGGTCAATCTGATAAGGTACATTGGTAGCAATGCGATCATCAGTCCACATTTCTAAGAATTCTTCCCTCCCAATATTTCAAGGTTAGCAATCCTGACCACGTAATATCACCGGTTACGCCTTTAATAAGACATTGTACTGGGTATATTATTATCTATGATAATATCAGTGGCAATCCGTGAGGAAGTAGCCATTATTATTGCTAAAAGTTGCATATAGATGGCGTGATTGGTATCGATGGAATTCTTCATAGTTTTGCAAACGTTTTAAAAAACAAGACTGTTTACAAAAATGTTTAATCAATTTTTAAAAAGTTATATATACATGTTAAAATGAAATAATGCGTTTAGAAAAGTAATTTTCATATATTTACTCATTTTGTTATTTTCCAGTACTTAATTAATTTAATCAGTGCTAATACGGGGCTCAATGTTTTCAAAATGCTTTCATAGATGGCATTGTTGTCATTTGTATCGGCCTAATTAAATGTCTTTTTTATATTTTCCAATAATAAGCACTTAATATATCATTATTGTAAATTAAACATATAAAAAAATTTTAAGTAAATTAAAAATAGCCGAACAAGCAAGTAATACTATTTCCAATAATACTTATGTATGAAGTGTTGTCATATTAAAAATAAATACATGTATTATCGATTTTTTTGAATAATCGATAACAGGATTTTATTACAGCGCATTATTCGATGATGCTTTTAATGAGTCGTTGTGAACAGTAAATTTTCATTATTTTATATTATAGCAGTGTTCCGTTTCAAAGAACGGAATATAGTAGTACATTATTAGTGTCGTTGGTTATTTACATTTGTACTAAAAATCGATTACATAATAATTTAAAATATCGAGTACGAATCGTAGTTGTCTTTGAATACTGGCAAGATTAAAATAGTATTAAAAAAAAAGAGAGAAATCGACCCTAACTCGAATACCATAAAGTTGATTTTCCTTTCTCATTAATATCATAGCAGTTTGTTTTTAACTTGCGTATGACTCTGTGGTATGATGTTTAACGTGTATTGTTATTGTACGGTGCATACATTTCAAAAATTATATTTTAATGTAGGTTCATACATTTCTTTCATACATTTCATACATGTCAAAAATTATCTTTTAATGTAGGTACATACATTTCTTTCATACATCAAAGATATTATTATTGTAGATATCGAAAGTTATGTATACAAGTAATTCTGAATATTATCAAGTTCAAAATAAGCACACATTACTGGCTTAGATAATAGAGTAATATTACTTGTAATAAAAACATTTGTGACACCCATATGTATACATATTACATAGTAAGTACTTACGCCCGTGCCGTGAGACTCATCTAAGCGTACAGCGCATGCGCGTCGTGCGGTAACCGCACCGACGGACCAATAGGAGCGCGCCTCTCGCGCATCCAGAAAGTTCGCGACTAATGGACGGTATAGTAGTAAAGCAATGAGTGTTCCAGTGACATCATTATAATATTTTCTCGTTAAGTTTTATTGTAATATACATAATTTCGTACTAAGTAACGTGTTCCCCCGTTACACATTTCTAACGTGTAACGGGTGTGAAAGCGAGACAAACAGACAGAGTTACTTTAGCATTTATAATATTTGTAAGAATATCGCTATTAAAAATAGTGGTTGGTGAAAGACGGGCCAAAATTTAGGCGTGTATTTATAACATTATAAATAAATAAAAAATTGTCCATAATACAAAAAAAAAAATTTCAGGGTAGGCCACCCCTATGACTTAGGGGTATAAAAAATAGATAACAACCCTACCTCAGACCTAGCAAGTATACATATCAAATTTCATCAAAATGTGGGAGAAATATGGCAACTAACACTGTGATACGAAGTTTATATATAAGATATAGCGGAATTCTCATTAGGGAAAAGAGGGGTACATCGTAGAATACATGAGGTATATACCAGTAAATTCATTGTAGCTAAAACCAGTCTCTTACACATAACGATTGAAATAAAAAATCATATAGCCCGATGTTGATACGTACGAGTATAAACGTATCAAAAGCGGGCTATACGTATAGCGCAGACGCGTTACAACATATCTTCGTCGAGAGAAAAAAATAGGTATGGAATGTAGAATAAACTATAACATAATATATACATTGGCACATAAGCCATATCTGCAGGGTATCGGCTAACGATATTATACCTACACATTTACATTGAATCTTGAATCGTCCCTAATGAGGTACACGATACAGTTACCTACATATCTTGTATATACCTATCTTTGCAAAACAGATGTCATGTAGACTGAATTGACTGCCATCTATTTTCATGCTTTGTTACTAAGCACCCACTAGTAATCCGAACTGCTTCAGATCTAGCGACATCTAGCGGCTACGGTGGCGAAATAAAATAGCCCGAAGAATAGCCCGAGTTAGGAAGGAACCATTTTCTTGTATGGGATGGGGTATCTGTATGTAATATTATGTTATCTGTGATAATATCGAGGACAAATGTGATCGGGCGGATACACAGTAAAAACTTTGTTCTAATATATTGATGTAGTATAGTGTCAGTAGAAGCCACGCCTCAATATAAATAGGATGGCCAATTCGAATAATGAATTTATCCAGATTTCTTTTTTTTCGACACGTACAAAGTAGATACTAGCGTTTAAAATCAAGACACCTCAATCGTTAGTCTACTAAAGTAGACTTTGTAAAAAGTCTCTGCATAGGCCTATTTTAGCTGCCAAGCTTCTTGATTTTTAAGATGTATTTCGATTTATAGGTTAGATAGAGAAAGCAGTGAAGTTGCAGAATATGGATGCAAATCATATTAGATCTCCGAAATGGCATGCATGATTGGTATCAGAGCAGTTACATTATGACGTGGTATTCTTTATGCCAATCGTGTATATAGGCGACGGGTACCACTTACCATCAGGTGGACCGTCAGATTGTTTACCATTCAAATTACAAAAAAAAACACGGACGGAAACGGAATTGCCGATCTCAGACATAAATAGGTTTTGATGATGCTGACACGTGTTGTTTGACTAAACGTTCTACACTATGTACATCCTATTACTAGACCTACCGTCTGCCTAGACCTTATACTGTATGAATCCGATCTCATTAGTCACAGAAAACAATTAAAAACGACTTAAGTGTTACATAGGTATTTTATAAGCATACTCGCATTTTTTGTACTTATACGTAGAAAAATAAAAAATATCGATTTTATACAGATTATGTTCATAAATTTCTTAAATATTATGTTTTATTATTCAAACTTGTGTTAACAGACAGACTCATATTCTAGATATCTTCTCCCGATTTATCATTTATCATAGGATTCCTTTTACCGGAATTTATGTGGGCATAGGGGGATTTATCATAGTATTAGTCTACATACTATTTTCTGTTTCAGACATGTCCCACGTTGACCAACAATTTCGATGATATAAAACACACGACGTTATCAGAACGAGGTGCCTTGAAGGAGGCGGCGAGATGCCTCAAGTGTGCCGATGCTCCATGCCAGAAGTCATGTCCAACGCAGATCGACGTCAAGAGCTTTATAACTAGCATTGCTAACAGGGTGAGTTCTTCTAAACGGTTTGAATTAGCAAACAAGACGTCCCAAAATAATACCTTACAAACACGAAATTCACTACTAACATCATACAGCGCTCGTTAATTACCATTCCAATTACATAAAAATCTGCCAAAAGTTTCGACATTTTGGCTAAAAATTATTCAGTAAATTCACACAGCACCATCATTAATCCCAAGGTGACCAAAATACTATGGTCCGTGACAGCTCATAGAAATACTTATATTTTTTTATTAATACATTCATAATATACATAGAAATTATTTAGACCAACACAAATAATTATACTCATAAATCCAAATGTTTATATCGTGTCAGGATTGAACCCACAACTATCAGAACAGTTAATAAAAACATAATAGATACTGTTTTATAATACATTGGAGTAGGTAGTAACACATTTTTGATGCAAATTGAGATATAATTACTTCATTTGTATCTACTTGTATAGACGAGATGTCCTTGGTGCTGTTAATGTATGTAGGCGACGTTTGCCGCTTTCCATATGGTAAGCTGGCGGCTTGGCTGTCATTTCTTAAATAACCTGAATGTGAATGGTTTTTATAATAAAAATTTATTATTTACAGAACTACTATGGAGCAGCAAAAGCCATTTTATCGGACAATCCTCTGGGTCTTACGTGTGGTATGGTGTGCCCTACTAGCGACCTCTGTGTCGGGGGCTGCAACCTTCACGCCAGCGAAGAGGGTGCTATCAATATTGGTGGCCTGCAGCATTTTGCTGTCGAAGTAAGGATAATTGATAACTTGTATCAGTATAGCGGCACTGATTTGTTGGGTTTCCACAATTGTATACATTAATGTACATATACGATTGTTATCTCAGATGAAGTACTTGGTCAGAGATATTGCCAACTGTCAACATCGTGGTGAATATATGTATCGCTGTATTTCTATGATAAATCCAACGTTAAATTAGTCATAAATTTTGAATCAAAATAAAATTTGTTTAGTGTTCTTATCACCAGAAAGTCAGGTGGAAGTATCTTTTTTTGCGTATCGGTTAGATTCCAACACGCGAATCGTAGTTGTATTAAATTAATAATAAAATATTTTTCAGACATTCATGAAGATGGGAATTCCGCAAACCTTGGACCCTAATATGAAAGCGTTGCCAAAAGGCGGAGACCAGAAGATAGCGTTAATAGGAGGCGGTCCAGCCAGCATCAGTTGTGCTTGCTTCTTAGCAAGACTTGGATATAAGGACATTACTATTTATGAAAAAGAGAAGTACATTGGCGGGCTAAGGTAATAGTTTCAAACAAATCGATAGTACCACATGTAGTATTTAAAAAAATATTAAACAATTGATATATGCTCAAATATACATAAATATATACTGAAACATTACAGTAATTGAGTACAATAAATACAAATGTTTGTAGTTTTTTTTCATATGGATGATTATAGAATGGTGCACACGCCAACGGTGCGCTAACAGTTTATGCTAGCCCAGTGTAGGATGATAAGATGAGTTTGAGGTCATCGATGTGGTTCCCCATCGAAGGAACCCGACATGGTACATTGTTAGCAATGGGATTACTCTATATTAATAACAATCTCCTTCCTAACTAACGGTAAACTTGCTCTATCTCAAGTTGAATCCGTGTGTTAAACTGCTAGACCTCAAAGGTCATCATGTTATGGTTACTTTATATTACAGTTCGTCAGAGATACCACAATATCGTCTCCCATTCGACGTGGTGCAATTTGAGGTGGAACTAGTGAAAAATCTTGGAGTAAAATTTGTGACAGGCAGGAAACTGTCAACGAAAGATATTACAGTTGATGTGAGTTGCCTTTTTATTGTATGTCTATTCTTAAAACACTTAAAAACAAACAAAAAGCTTTTTAAATATTTTATACCCAAATATATTAACTAGATGAAGACATGAATCAAGCCGCCGCGTACTTGTTCCATCAGAATTTTATTATTTTAATGGACTAATGCAAAAATATTGTCAGAATAACTGGCGAAACGAAGAGCTCAGACAATGACACTATTTATTTTTTAACTGTATAGATTAAGCTACCAGCGAAGTCAATAAATATAATGGTCAAGGAGTGTCTGTTTTTGTGTAGCTATATAGTTCGACCTGAAATCTGGAGACTTTTAAAGAAATTCCGAGCCCTGAACGATCATTTTGTTTGGAATGCGACTTCTAAATCTCTTATCTTGTGATTTTTTTTAGTTTCGGACATCATGCAATGAAATGAAATACTTTTTTATTAAAAACATCTTTTCAGAATCTACTAAACAACGGTACCGCACTAGTATTTCTTGGTATCGGCTTACCAGAACCCAATAGTGTTCCGATATTTAAGGGGTTAACGCAAGAAATGGGTTTTTACACCAGCAAAGATTTCTTGCCATTGGTATCTAGAGGCAGCAAAAAAGGTTAGTAATTTTTTTCATTACAAGCATTAGCGTTCAGTACCTAACTATTAAATTAGCTAACCAATACTAACCAAGTCTTTTGATTCTGTCAGGTGAATTAAGAAAGTGAGTAGATATTTAATTTGTCTGTATCTACAATCTCTCCTGCGATGTCTTTGATATTGATAATATATTTTATTAAAAAGTCTTAGTTTTATCGTAATTTTATACAGGATAAAACATTTTCTTATTGTTGAAAATTAATGTACTGCTTTTTGAAGTAACCTAGTCGCATTCATTTTGTATTGCTACACACATGATTATATTTCTGAGTCATCATTCATATTTGTTATTTCTGTTTTCTTAGCTTTTTTCTTAATAAATATTAAGTATGTATTTTTTAATATTTTTAGGAATGTGTGCATGTAAGTCATCGCTACCTGAATTACATGGCAATGTGATCGTTCTGGGTGCCGGAGATACAGCATTCGACTGTGCGACATCGGCCCTCCGATGCGGTGCGAGACGTGTCTATGTTGTTTTCAGAAAAGGTTTCAATAATATTAGGGCAGTACCTGAAGAGGTAAGATACCTAATCGAATGTATTTGAATATAGTCAATACTAAAAACTTACCAATTAACTCCTACGGTAATGGTAATTGAAGTAAATTGGAGTGACAATACAGTTGGCTCGTCCCGTATTAAAGTAACGCATGCTTCTAAAAACGTATGTCGAAAGTAAACTGCTAGAGACTACGTTGGGTACGTGGCACTACCTAGTAGTTGAGAATGCGTGCGGAGTACCTATACAGTTCAGGCAAATTTGTACTCTAAAATTTCCCATAATATAATTAACAGCATAAATTAATTTTATTGGTTCATTAAAATTATCAATTATGTACTTAAGTATATGGTTATGTATTGGCAGGTCGATCTGGCAAAAGAAGAAAAATGTGAATTTATACCGTTCATGTCGCCTCAGGAAGTCATAGTGAAAGACGGTGCTGTAAGTATCGACATAATCTAAAATTAACTATCTACAATTAATAATTATACTACGGAGCAGGCAATTAAAATATCATAGTATATGTCCTTTTCCTAAGAAGATTATAAGTTGCGTGAGGTTGCGTTATATTGCTATACGAATATCTTTGTTCAAACTGTCTTTTAAGCACATTGAAATAGTATTATCTTTATTTAAATGCCTATTTATGGAAACAAGTAGAAATGTTAAGAAATCTATGTTGCATTTCTGAGTAGAAGTTATAAATGGAAAGAATCCAATTTTCAAATTACCTAACGGACAATACACAGAATAGTACACTTATCTGTTCTGTGGGCAATATCATAAAGATTTTATAAATAGTAGCAATAAAATAAATCAGAAATAGTGATAAGCGTTATACCTATCTATTTCTTTGCGATTACAGATCGCTGCATTAAAAATGTGTCGCACTGAGCAACTAGATAACGGCGATTGGATAGAGGACCCTGAACAAATTATGCAGCTGAAAGCTAACTTCATTATCTCAGCGTTTGGCTCCGGACTTTATGATAGCGATGGTAATATAGAATATATGTTAATTAATTTATACACATACACAAAATTATTTGCTCAGGCAATCATCCACTTTTCACCAATCATTGAAATGGAATAAGTTATATATTTTAAGTCGGTAAGCTTCATAGTTAAACGCTTGGATTTCCAAAGTTCCTATGTATATTATGGTCAATAAGAACTATTTAATTCTTCAAAATCAACCACACAGTGAACACCACCCACACTTTCATAAAGATTTATTAATTTAAATATATCCAACCAACTACCGAAAGGAGAGAGGTTTTCAATTCGCTTATTTATGGACGCCATATCTTAAATAAAACTTTTGTAATAAATACATGGTATTGAGTATCTAACTCAACCTTCCTCATGAATCAATCTATCTATTGTCGAAAACTGCATTAAAATCCGATGCGTAATTTAAAAGATATAAGAGAACAGCAGCGGCGACGTTGTTTTATACGACATAAAGATTTTTCTTAAGGATTTCATTATTGTTTAAAAAACGGAACTAATCTTTTATTGCAGTTTTTTATAATCACAGCCGGAACCCGATTTTCATTTATAGAAATAATATTTTTAAATTTTCATTCGTACTTGCAGTAAAAGAGGCTATGTCAAGCGTAGCCCTTAACCGTTGGGGACTGCCTGAGGTGGATAATATCACAATGCAAAGCACTAGCAACCCTCGCGTGTTCATTGGCGGAGATTTGGCCGGGGTAGCAGAGACCACTGTTGAGTCGGTCAACGATGGCAAGACTGCTGCTTGGTACATGCACTGTTATATACAAGTTAGTATCTAATTTATTTATTTATATTTCGACAATCGACAACTTTGGGGTCTAGCGGTTTAGCACACTGCTTTACTTCCGATGGTCGCGAATTAGATTCCTCGTACGGTTCAAACTTTTGTATTCAAGAGTGTGATTGTTTGTATTGGTCTGTGTTTTCTATATATATTATGTATATATTTAAAAAATGAATTTTTGTATTAGTCGTCTAGTATCCATAACACAAGCTGTGCTTTGTTTGAGACTAGATGGCGCAGTGTGAATTGTCCAGGGATATTATTGTGTACTATTATTTACCTACACTCTTTAAGTATTATTAAACATTTTTTGCAACATCTGATTTATGTATAGGAGGAGGTATACCAAATGGGTTTCTTGCCAGTTTCCAAGGGCCTAGCAAGAATTTGAACTAGTACGTAACAAGATCCCAAATATCGTGAATTCGAATCTTGTCAACACAAATAACTGTGTCAATATATATTTTCTATTAAATCTATTGGATTTGTGTGATATAGCAAACTAAACGGTGACTTAAAATAATATATATTTTAAGTTTAGTTTATTGCGCTAGGCAACGATTACTGAGCCAAATGTGGGCATGTCAACTATTGCATTCACTACAATCTGAAGTTCCCTATTTGGAATAGCAGTCGTGAGAGTATTTAGCAATTATCATTCCTTTCAGGGACTGCCATTCAATTCACCAATCGAGCTACCGAAGTTCCACTGTCCCATCGACGATGTGGATCTATCTGTGGAAGTGTGCGGGATCAAGTTTGAGAACCCATTTGGATTGGCTAGCGCCCCACCAACTACCAGCTCCGCAATGATACGTCGCGGTTTCGAGCAAGGATGGGGCTTTGCCGTCACTAAAACATTTGGTCTAGATAAGGTAGGTCTATCGCAAAAGTATTAAGGTTGCAAATCACTTACCCCTCTTTATACAAAATGTGACACTGAAAATTTTCTACAATAACTAACTAAACTCGATGAAATTTTGTCCATAGAATGAGGCAAGCAATATCAATTTTACACACTAGTCAGATTTTCTTTAAACAAGAATTACACCTAACTGAAAAGCTCTATTTCCTTTATTATATAAGAACTATCTTTAGCTCATTCAAAAAGAGTATTAAAAATGTGTAATGAGTAATGTCTATTGTAATAATAGAGCCGAGTAAAGCGATATATAAATATTTACCGCAAAATATCGATTGAAAGTGTTGCTCTTGCGATTGGATAAGTGGACAGCTTTCTGAATCGAGATAGAACGATACTAATCAATACATTGTAATTTTATAGCTTGAACATACTCCCCTTAAAAATAAATCGGTTACGACTCTTATCGGAGTCCAACAATAGTCGTAAGAACAGAGGTTGACTAACACTTTATTAACACAAAAAAACTGCAATCAATGCAACATTTTTATAACCTGATACCAATATAGATCAGGATACCTCAGGACTCAGGATATAATCTGAATTTTTTATTAAGGCAAATAATATGCTTTGTATTTGGCTAAAAGCTAAATTATACAAATATAAGCAGTGTATGTTCACTATAAATAATAATTTGAAAAGTAGAGGGAAGATGTGATGCTTATTCTTTATCCATCTCCATTACTTTCCACAGGATTTAGTAACGAATGTGTCCCCGCGAATAGTCCGCGGGGTGACCTCCGGCGAGAACTACGGCCCCGGTCAGGGTTCATTCCTCAACATCGAGCTCATCTCCGAGAAGTGTGAAGCCTACTGGTGTCAGAGCGTTGCCGAATTGAAACGGGACTTTCCGAATAAAGTATGTATCTCTCTAATTAACTGTTCAAAAATTTTAAAATACAAATTACGTACGTATGTCTTATCTTTTCACAAATAAAGTATTTTGTTTAATTCTGCTACTATAAGCATATGTAAGATCACAAACGTATATGGCGTATGAACACGTGATACCTTGGCGTCACAAATTCCTTCTGTGGTGTCCATAGTGTTGTTTATGTCTATAGGCGACGATTTCTACTCTCTATCAAAGGCAATCAACTTGTTTACCATACCACCACTTTTACATAAAATATAATTATTTATTCCAATGCACATTAATATGTAGAATGATCGTATTATAGGTAGTCATAGCGTCAATAATGTGTTCGTACAACAAAGAAGATTGGACAGAGTTGGCTCAGAAGGCCGAAGCAGCCGGCGCTGATGCTCTCGAATTGAACTTGTCGTGTCCGCACGGAATGGGAGAATCTGGAATGGGCTTAGCTTGCGGACAGGTAAATTGAAACATAAAATAATAAATTATTTAAATTAATACTAACAATCCGCAACATGTAATTTTTTTTTAATTCATAATACCCGTGATACCGTAGCTATATGTAACTTTATCCATTAAGAATAATAAATCACCAACAATGACATTTGTCCATTTATCACCTAATCATGAACAATAAGGCTGCGTTCTGTTAGAATAGATGGAACTATTTCTTAGAAATATTACTGGATACAAGAGCTTCTCACCCAAAATCTATAATATAGGTATGTATACTTTATTTCTCTTTTATTAATAAATAAATATCAATTCACACAGCGCCACTTCGGTCAGAATTACGTAGGTACTAGACTTGTAAGAAATATGTATCTATTAGATTTAAAATTTATTCATGAATGGGCATCGAAGCTGCATCAGCAATCATGCGAAACCATTACACCACCACCGAGATTTCGTAATGTAACTTATATTATTTTTAGGATCCTGTTTTAGTAAAAGGCATATCCCAGTGGGTGCGCGAGGCCATCAAGATACCATTCTTTGTGAAACTCACGCCTAACATCACTGAAATAGTTACCATAGCAATTGCTGCTTACGAAGGTAAGAATATAAGAAATACGTAGGAATATCTAATGCTAATTTCTGTTCAATCAAATTATGTATCTGCATTTGTTTTAGAATGCAATAGGAATAGAAATTATCTTTATTCAAATAAACTTAATATAAGCTACTTATACTATACTTTTGAAGTCATATTTTTATTTATTCTACCACTCATTCGGAACTCACACCCATCACAACACAGCGCCGGCCAATCTCGAGCTAAGCAGAGATTGTATTAGATGAAAACACACTTTAATATATATTTTTTGTAAGCACAAACAATTTTAATGAGAATAGACCAATAAGATCAGTCATAATCATGAACTAATAGCCATTGTAGGAGAATCAAACTATATATAGGTAACAAATGGTTTTGATTAATTTCAGGAGGAGCTAGCGGGGTGTCAGCTATAAATACGGTGTCGGGGTTAATGACCGTTAAACCTGACGGAATACCGTGGCCGGCTGTGGGTGAGTACAAAACGTCATTAAAATATTTCCTTACCTTCTGTCCCAATAATGTAACCAATTTCCTCCCAATTTTGAGATACAACCGATTGTTTATATTATATTTTTGTTTGTAATTGAGAAACAAAAAATCTTGTCCAATTTAAAATGCCTCCAAAATCCCCAGTAATAGAGGTAGTCGGGGTAGTAGTGTAGTGACCCCATACTTTCAATGGTGTATCTTACTAATAAACGCGAAAATTTTTTAGCATGGATGGACTCTTTCACGCATAAACTACTAAACAGATTTTGATGAACTTTTACAGTACTGGAGCTTATACACCAGAACAACATATAGAGCCTATAATTGAAAAATATATGTAAATTGGTCGAAATATAATGATAAATGTCAAGTGTGTCGCAGACAAAGTTGCGCGGGTCATATAGTATCATAATATTATGGTATAAAAAAATTGACGTTATCAGGAGTGGAGAAACATACAACGTACGGCGGCGTGTCGGGGAACGCGACGCGTCCGATGGGGCTCCGCGCCGTGTCCGCTATAGCCAACAAACTGCCCGGCTTCCCAATACTTGGTATTGGCGGTATAGACTCTGCAGATTCAGCACTACAGTTCATTATGTGCGGCGCGCCTGTTGTTCAGGTGAGGACAATATACATAGAATAATGAAATTAATTGTATCTGCAGATAACAGGAAGAAAGCATAGATACCTAACAATCTTTCTTTTCTGTGATAATAATAAATTATTTTAAAGGTACATTTTATTACATGATTATGTCTATAAAATGTTTAGACCTATACATACATAAGTTAAGAGAAAAAATTGTAACCCAGTAATAGGTACCTACTCATCTCCTGTTGTTTATTATTGACAAATTAGCAGTTAACGGCACTTCTTTCTTCTTCTTTAATAAATAAAAATCTAATATAAAAGCAGCTTATGTTATCAAAACATAATTTGTATTTATGTTCAATGGCAGATCTGCAGTGCAGTACAGAACCAAGATTTCACCGTCGTGGAAGACTACATAACCGGACTGAAGGCGCTTCTGTATTTACGTTCCCTGGGGCTAGACAGTTGGAGTGGTCAGTCTCCGCCTACTTTCAAACACCAGAAGGGGAAACCGGTTCAAACGTTGTACGACGAAAATGGCAAGGTAACTTATTCAGTTGCTAGATGACCCGGCGAACTTCGTATCTATAATATATTTAATTACAACGTGATTGTCTACCGCCGCCCATAAGCACCTGCACCTGCACAGGAGAATATGCAAGTGCGTTGCCGGCCTTTTAAATAATAATAAGCTTTTTTCTTAAAGGTTTTAATATCGTATCGGTTCGGAAATAACATTGCGGAGATGTGATTCCATAATGGTTGTGTTCTCTTGGTATATTTAAATCGAACGAAGCTGGAAGCGAGTCTATCACCGTATTTTGATATAGTTTTGGATTGTTATCGGTGTCTCCATCACCGGACACAGAAAACTAGACTATGTGGAAATTTGAAGCTGAATAGTTTCGCACATGTATGCAACACTTTTTACATCGCAAAATATAATGTGTCACCGTGGAAAACTTTATGGACTATCCCGTGCTCCACATATCTGTAATTCTTATAGAGGGAAATTAATATTCACTTCAGGTTGTTTGACAGACACAGTAGTCTAGTATAAATAGTTACTAACAATAGTTTTTTTCTAGGTACTTGCACACTTCGGGCCTTACAACAAAAAGCGTGAAGAAAAGCTACATGAGATCAGGCTGAAAACAGACTTGTTAGGCGATAATAAAGTAGAAATTCAATCGAGTAATGGTATTAATGGAACAAACAACGGAACAAACTGTAAAGTGCCAAGTATTCAAGAGGTGCTTGGAAACGCGTTGCCTAGAGTCGGAACTTACAAGCATTTGGATAATACTAAACAAGTGGTTGCCCTGATCGATGATGTGAGTATAACCCTTTTTACCGTTATTTATATGCCAGATGACTTTTTTCTATCGTATGAACGTAAAAAAATATGTAGAACTACTATAGGTAGTCAAACTTCAATTACAATAAATACTGAGCGAATTAAATTCTTCTCTAAAAGTATTGCAAAATAAGTCACCCTTAACCTACCACACATAAGATAATACGGTAACCGTTTACCATCAGATGGGCCGTATGCTTGTTTGCCACCATCGTAGCATAAAAAAAGTGATTTTATTGTCGCCAGTAGGATTGTGGTTTAAAAATGTACCTAGGATTAGCCAGTAGGAATCAGGTGTCCCGCGCTCTGACTTCTATCTGAACACAACACAAAGAAGATATAGAACTAGTTTTAAAATAAAGTTACACCCTCCCCCATACGGTGGGCCATAAAAATTAACTTCAAATCAGACTACAATCGAAATCCAGAGTCCTTTGAAAGAATTTTGCTACAAGCCCAGCGTTGGCTTAATCCGAGCAATGGACGTATAGGTTGTTGTGTTTAATCATATAAGTTAATTGTCAAAAACTAGTAGTCTACAATTAACATATTTCTAATTGTATTAACTGTCTATATGATGAAATATTCTTTTGACACATAAATGTAGTAACATATTTTTTTTTGAAAATTTAAATATCAATTGAATCGCCTTTATTATATATATATTTTTCTTTATACTTTACAAAGATCTCGGTGAACTAGCGGTGTAGCACTCAACCTTACTTTCTAATGGCTGCAGTTCGATTTTTTACTATTTATAAAAGTAGTTTCTTACCTTAGGACTAGATGTAGTGTGACTTGATGAGGGTTATTTATTTTGTTTATTTACGGAGTAGACGCAGAGAACAACAGCTAAGTGGCTATATCTATTTTATACTCTTACTTAAATTCAAAATAAACGTTTTATTACAATTTACATTATCTAAGTAAGTACCTATTTTAACTTAAAAACAATTGTTTCATTCATAAAATCATGAGTGCGTTGTTGTTCCTCTTTTTTTCAAAGTATGATTGCCAATTAATGTTAACATACTAATATTACCGGTAGTGCCTGTAAATACTATGCTTATTTTCAGGATATGTGCATAAATTGTGGTAAATGCTACATGGCCTGCGCCGACTCTGGATATCAAGCTATTGAGTAAGTACTCTATAATAATATAAAAAATACTTTTTTTTTGCGTTATTCTGACTGCGAGAAAATGCCTTAAGGTGTTAAATCCACCATATGTACTTTTATATTTGTACATTAAAACTTTAATAATAAACTTAAACCAATAATTTATCTTACATAATATAGTTAATCTCGTTTCACGTATTTGCATACGATTATGTCTATTGTAGTCTTGGGATAGTTACCTACAATAATACTTTATTGTAATGTCCGCTAAGTACCATTTTTACATCCATGTTTTATAAGATAAGTATCTTGTATTGTAACAGTATTTAGACATTAGCAAGTATTGTGTGAAGTTAGTTGTGGTATTTACTTGTCTTTGTGCTAAGTGATGAATTATCAATAATCTTGTATTCAAACGACGACGAAACCTTGTGAAGTATTGATCTATACATAATACGTAAATAAATTCAATATAACATCAGTTTAAAAACCACTTATAATAACTCAATATTAACATTCGTTGCCGATGCTCACATACAAATCTTATGTAACGTTACTTCGTGTTAATATTGTAAATAAGTAGGTACTTACTAAACTATTGCGTTCTGAATCATGAGAAGTATTAAGATGCACTTGTTCATTATCCCCTACCCATATATATATTTTTATAAAATAAAAAATACATTTATATATTTTAAATATAAGTTTCTTTTTTATTTTATAAATGTAAGAATATTATGTGATACAAATTTTTGTGATAATAAATAAATACTCATATATAACGTTCAATAATAATAATATTTTATATTCATTGAATTTAATTATTATAAAAATATATATATACAATACAATTATCCTGTATGTCGGACAACGGGGATGACCCAAAATATCAGTCGTATATATATTATTATTATTATTCATATGACTAATTAGAACAAAAAGTCCCTTTTAATATATATTGTTATTTCTTTGTTTGGTTTATTATTACTAAATAATATAAATATATATACCTACGTCAAATTCACAATGATGCATTTTATACATATGTATTTATATGTACACAATATATATAAAAAAATATATTATAGTATAATATAAGATATTCGCAGCAATTTTTGTTTAATTCTGGCCGACAATAATATTAATAGTGTAATGTTATTAATTTTATTTCGGCCAGATTTAAACACACGACCTCTTGGGCGTAATTCAGTATGGTAAACCGCTATGCCAGGATGTCCTCATAACAAATTAGTAGCGAATAAATGTTATCGATTACAATAATAATCATTAGGAAGAAGTTAGTAAGGGTACATGGGACTGGCATGTACATTTAGTTTGTACAAAAGTGCCTACATTTAAAGAATAAAAAAGAAGGAGTCTTTAATAAAATACAACATAAAAGCGCTAAAAGCTCATAAAAAATACAGTCTTCTTAAGAGAAAGTTTAGCCGACAAACAAATCTAATATCAAAATTGTTATTGTAGATTTGATCCTGAGAATCACATTCCGCATGTAACAGACGACTGCACAGGATGCACGTTATGTTTGTCCGTATGTCCCATTATCGACTGCATTTCGTGAGTATCCATTTGATTTCTATTTTTTTTTTCATTATTACAATTTTGTGTAGTCCTGGCTACTGAACTATTTGACTAATTTTTACCTACTACAAAGTCGTGTCGCGAATTAGGGCATTTCTTGTTAGTAAATATATAGAGAGGCGTTTTGAAGTCGTTTGACAAAAAACCAAACTCATGTTAATTCGCCTTAAAGAATTTTAGATATAAATGACAAAATATATAGTTATATATAGGAATCGTTTTTAATAATATGGAGAGGTAAATTTTTATAAATATGTATACGACAATATGAGTAGAGGGAGTTTTAATACCCATGAAGATTTGTGTTATGACAGAGAAAAGTGGATATATTAATTACGAAATACTTGATATGAATTGGATGAAATTTTGTAATCTGTTCTTTATGTAATTTGAATGGCAATTCATCGTTAGTAGTAACGCCTATATACAAGAATAGCACCACGAACATTGCGTCATTATGTAACAGCCATTTATTTACTCTTTATGCCATGATACCGATCATGCATCCCCAATGTTACTGGAGCGAGAACACAACTATTATTTTAATAAAAACCAAATATTAGTAAAAATGTGTATTCTTCCCAAAAGGGCTCACAGCGAGAAGTAACAAAACAATCTATGATAGTCAAAAGTGACGTATAAAAAATAGATGTAAAAATATAAAGTTTATAAAAAGAATGATAGACAAGCTGCCAGCAACATCCCCCCGCAGGCGAGTTTTTATAAAGTCTATCTGGGAGATCTCCTTCATTAAGAACAAACACATACCATAGTATCAGTGAGGAAGGATATGATCTATCTACTATAATAAATACTTCTAATTTATATTTGTCAATATAATCCATGTTTGCAGGATGGTCCCGAAAAAGATACCTCACGTTATCAAAAGAGGTTTACGTTATGACGTTCTACAAGTATCGCCACTGGACGACATATGTTAACAGGATAGAATAACAAAACAAATGTAAGAATATATATGTATATTAATTATACAATAAAATATATTTTATTTTCCATTTATTACTTTGTATAACTCTTCTACCTTAAGTTTAGCCGACTTCCATGAAAATAGCCAAGTATTATGAGGATTTACCTGCAAAGTCAAGGCTGAAATTGGTTGAGGGCAGTTATAATGATCTTTGGTGACTATGTATTTATCTTCTTTTTTCTTTTCATGTAGCTTTCTACAAACAAAACATTCTAGTATCTCGGCAGTTTTTATTGCATCATTTTGATACGGTCTTTGTTGTAACTCTTGAAGAATTCTTTTGTTTGTTATTACACTTTTTGTTTTATGCTCTAAATGCTCCTCATACAATTCATCGTTATCCAATAGTAAGCGTATATACTCGTACATAGCTTTAGGCGTAGGATAATCCTTTATAAGTATCGCAGATTTATTATTAGGCAACCAATCTTGTATAGAAGGCGACCCAAAATATATTGGAACGGCACCCACTTTTATAGGGCGCCAAAATTTCTCCGTTAAGTAGTCTTCACAGACGCCATTCTCTATAGCAATTATGAACTTGTATCTCGCTATGAACTTAAGAAACTCTGGGTCATTTAAATTATTCAAATAATCGCTTTTAAATTTCTGAGGCATCGCCTTGTTATTTAGACAAGCGCCATACGAATCTACTTGTATGAACTTCATCAATTCTTTCACATAATCATCGCGTTCAGATGAAGTTTCGCAGTCAGATTGTAAGTACATAATAGGTGCTATATGTTCGAGATGACTGTTCTTTACCGATGTATTAAAATAGTACTTTGTGCTAGTTATATCATGAACAGAATCCAAATATTGTAGAGGGAATGGTACATTGCTGTAGCGGCTAAACGTAGCGGAGAAATTGAATAAATTTAACATTTCTTCATGCATAAATTCTTCAACGTTCCTTGGCGATTCTTCATGAAATAGAGCCCAAATTATATTGTCCTGTCGTCTAGGTAGAGGAAGATCGTCTAAATTTATAGTACTACCATAAAATAAATATCCATCCACGTTTTTAACGTTCAATTGCCTATCATTTATAATTGCACATTTTATATTATTATAACAAGTCTTAATTCCATTTTCATTAAAAAACCCATTTGTCCACCACACTATCACTGGAATTTCACCATCTCCCACATCAAACCTGTTTGACTCACTTCTCTGGCAGTACATGGATACTAGACATAATATACTGAACAAACCCCAACACCACCACAGTTTTAAAATGAATTTTCTAATTTTTTTTATAAACATCCTAATAATATCTTTGAAATAAACTAATATTTGTCTGCAGAAACATTGTCTGCTTCTCTTGACACCTTTAGCATACATGATGAAGTGCCGACTAATAATATTTATCGCAGGAAGCCTTATCAGTAGGCACTGAGTACTATTGTTACATATTTATCCTCTATAAAACCACAAACAAGTACTGTTGGGAACATATGTTTCTTAATGAACTATTGTCTCTGTATTAAAATGTCCAGCCTCTCTCCTTATGTATATAGTATAAATCCATGGCAAATGCTATGATTAAATCTATATAGAAAAGGCCATATATTGCACCATATACTTGAGCAGCAATTAGCAAATTTATAAATGCCATTGAAGAAAGTGCCAGTTCAATGATGAGGTAGTATAATTCTGCCTCACTTTGTACCTGGTCTACAAGATACAGCACCATGATAAGTGTGGACAGCATGAGAGTGGGCCCCGCGACCAGGCAATGAAACACATCCACTGGTTCCACAACATGAGGCACTATATTGAGGAGAAGTGCCACTACCTAAAAGTAAGATATGATTGCAAATGTACACTTAAACTATCTTTATTAATAGCACAAAATAAGCACACATTTGGGAGTCATTATAATTAATTCATATAATTTAATATTTAGCTTCACCTCAAATCTTATACATGAGTACTAACTATATCCAGCGGTGTTACCCTCTTGAATTCAATGACTATCCTGTCTTAATCTATAATATGATCTGTCTGTGTACCAAATTTCATTTGAATACATTCTATAATTGAATGACAGCCTCAGTGGTCTAGTGGTTTAGCACACCGCTTTACTATCCGATGGTTGTGGATTCAATTCCTTACACTGTACAAACATTTGTATTCATGAGTATGATTGTTTGTATCTATCTGGGTGTTTTCTATGTATAATATGTATTTATTTACAAAATAAAAAGGTATCCATGCATTTATATCAGTTGTCTAGTACCCATAACACATGCTCTGCTTAGCTTGGGACTAGATGGCACTGTGTGAATTGTCCTGATATTATTTAAAAAAAAAATTGCATGCATTAGTAACAACCATACACATATATTGTTATTGATTCCTACACTAGACTGGGCCTATCCTGCAAGTACCAGAGTAGTATTTCTATATTCAATGTACCTATAGTTCACATTAGGTCTTTATTCCTATATAATTATGTAGACACATGTATTTATGTAAGCAAAATTTTCTTTAAAAATAGAAATAGCTCAGTTATGACATCATTTATTGGTGCAGTTTTATAGGCCATAAGGAATATATAATATAAGGAACTTGTTAACTGTGTGCATTATATAATTCAGAAAATTATTAATTATATTTTTTCTAAATCAATAGTAATATGAACTCAGTGCTACATCTAGCATGAATGTTTCCGTTTCTCCAATGGAGTACATAAGGCAAATGAATTACTTTGTAATATTTCACTCATTCTCCATTCTCACTTTTTTGTGTAATCCATTATAGACTGCAGTAAGGCTGTCTAATGGGGTAAACAGAAAAGAGGAGTGCACAAGAACCTATAAGAGAGCCACATCCATTATTCTTATAATAATTGAATCCCTATCAGATACAGTGGTAGAGGTCCTTTGACAACCAGTACAATGTACTATAATGTACTACAATGTTTATAATGGGTATTAATACACTTTACCGACTAGTCAGCATAAAAGGTTTTACTATTAATAATAATAATTTGTTACAAAAAGCCACAATATTAAATACCTGTCTAATGACTAAAATATTTCTAACTTCCTTGGCGATAACATCCTCAAATTTTACAATAGCTTCCACATTTAGCTAAGGCCAGTGTGGGTGAGTATTACCTTCTTTAATAATAAATAAAAATAAAAAAGCCTTTATTGCTGTTGCAATAAAGCTATTGGTTAATAAAAAATATACTCCACTATAATATTTTGTATACAAATATTTGATATTATTATCTTAATAATCACAGTGTAAAATAGATACTAAGAACTATGATAAATATAATGTAATTGAGGACAAATATATATATTACTAATAATAAGATTTGACTGTGTTTATTCAGTAGCATACTTACATTTCTTAGAAGTAGAAACACTCGGTTTACTCATATGACAGTATATAATACCTACATAAATAACAAAATAACAGTATCTAGTCCAAACTAAGAAGAGCTTGTAGCATGGAGTAACATTGTTGCTTGTTTTAAGTACATAATTTATGGACAAATACTCAGATCAGTCAAATATACTAATAATACAAATTTAAACCCACAACCATCTGAAAGTGGCAGTGTTCTGAATTCCTAAAGTACAAAGAATGGACAGTCACATATTATTTTTAGTATCAACATCATTATCAATGGGTTTTAACATGTTTATCTTTTCAAGCTTTAGTCATATTTAAATACATTTATATAAGACAAGTAGATTGACTTATATTTGTTGTTGCTATCTACTACTATACTATCAAAATTCTATACTTATATGTCAAGGGTGTATAATATTTACTTTATTAAATATGGAATAATACAATTATGCTTTCTGTAGCAGTTTAATGCACTCATTCTGGATGTAATAATGCAAAGCCTCTTTCTTTTATCACATAATATGCGTCAATACACAGAGCAATGAGTAAATGACAATAAAATAATCCATAGAGTGCTCCTGTGGGATACTGTTTTAACATGAGGGCTCCACAGAGAGCAACTACATTTAAAGTAATCTGTATTATTAAATACAACTGTTCAGCTAGATCATGCACCTGGTCCACTAAGTATAATATGATAAACATTATGGACATAACCAGAGTGGGTGACACCGCCAGACAATGTATGATATCAGCTTCATTTAATGCAAACGGAATTATCATCAAAACCATAGATAAAACCTAAAAGTAAAAAGGGGAGGAGATTGTTAGTAACGGGAAGTAGTAGGGTCTCCATTGCTAATAATGTACCGTCAGATTAACTTTCACGATATGCACTCTAGATACCATCCTGGTTAATTCCTGGTGATTTCACCACGATAGATAGCGACCTGACTCATCCTTATTTTCTCATCCTCCACTGGTTGCCAGCATATACTGTTAGTATAGACCCAACAATGCTTATTGATCCATAAAAAAAATAAGAGTAACAATACCTATTGAATTGAACATTTTGCCTTTGGATACACTTATTTTTTCTTGACCACACAATATTTCTGCTTTCTGATTGATCGAGTGTTTAGATACAAATCCAGGCAATTCAAAACATATATTACATTAAAAATATAATTCAATTTCCAATTTTTAATAATAAGAATATTGAAAAAATAGTCTACCAAACAATGAACAGAAAAGTTTTAGTTTATAAACAAATAATGTGACACAGATCAATGTCAAAAAATGACAATAGACTTGGATTTTTTTTTATTTTACGGACTTTTATTTTTTCTTTGGCAAGAGGCTAGTATTGCCTATTATGCCACTAAAAACAGGAAACGAGACGGGATAATGGAAAGGAACGGGTTAAATTTTGAATATACTCGGAATTAGTGATCATGGGTTTTAAAGTTTAATGTTATTATGGGAAATAAAAGACGCAAGAGATTTATAAATTATAGGACTAGAATGAGCTAATAGGCATACAATGAATGAAGGAAAAGGAATTTCTAATGAGATGATTGACTCTATAAATGAAGAACGATCGTAAGAGGAGCAGGAAAACACAATATGATTTAGATCACCCACATCTTCTCCACATTCACAGATATTATTGTCTTTAATACGTAGTTTTGTTCAATGTTCCGAGCTGCAAACATGACCAATTAGCATACGAATCAAAACACAAGTTGATCTTTTATCAAGATGTAATTTGAAAATCCACGGTTTAAGAGGTATAAACGGTTGGACTAAACAGTACTGTTTCCCTTTAATTCTGCTACTTATTGTCCAATCTTGACTCCATGAGTCATGAAGACAAGACTTAGACAAGGCAGTTAGATCATGGCAAATGTTTTATATAAGGAAAAAAATCTCCAGATAATATAGCTTCATTCGCAAGCAAATCTGCTTTTTCGTTGCCCCGAATGCCACAGTGACCCGGAATCCAAACGAAAGATACAATATGTCCTTTGAGACGAATGCTATTCAACATATCTCGGATATAAAAAATTAGAGGATACTGTTTAGATGATTTGAATAGACATTTAATTAGAGCTTGAAGAGCACTTTTAGAGTCCGTAAATATAATAGTTTGCTTAAGATTAATTTTACGGACTTGCTGTAGTACGTAATAAAATTAAGTATTGCTATAGGTAATATTGCTAAATAAAAATTCTGTAACTTCATTTTCTAAGAAATTTACTCATAGATCTTCATATTCCAATATATAAATGACTAGCTGTTACTGTCAATCTGTACGTCCGTACAAACTGTACGTTCAGTTGTGAAGAGGTAAGAAACAGCCAGACTGATACACTTTCATATTCATAATATATTAATAAAGATTTTATTTTTTTATTTCATTGCCATCACAAACAATCATAAGGCCAATTTTGATAAAAAATTATGTATGGTATTAGGTTTTAAAAATTAGTTATATAAAGAGCTCAGTGATACATTTTTGTCGAGGTTTAAAACAGTCACCATACCTATAACACCAGTCACTATAGATAGACTATGCACACGTATAGATAGAGTTACAAACTAGTAATAATTTAAATTTTGTAATCTAAATTTCTGTTCTTTAAAATTAATTATTTTCATAGAATAAAAACAATTTTTAATGCAAACATTATTTTTATATTTAGATTAAATCTTTCGTTACAATTAAGCGCAACTGAATGTACAACCTCTCTCATTTGCTATAAGATATAAGTCGAGTGATAATGCTGTTAACAGTGCGAAATAAAGTATTCCATAGATTAACCATATCCATACCTTTACTATGTTTAATAGAAAACATTGAATGAATGCACCAAAAGTAAAGAGTATTTGAAAAAACAAATACATTTTCTCCATAAACAGTGGTACTTTTCTTCGTAAATATAGAATGATGAATAGTAAAGAAACTATTAATGTGGGACCGGTGGAAATACAATACATATGCCCTTGTGGTTTTGAAATTATTGACGGTAGTATTATTATTGTAAATGAGATACCCTATAATCAATAATACATATATAATGATTTATTAAAATAAAATTTATTTGGAATGGAGAAGGTAATATTTTTAACAGGTAAAGGTATTTTTTACATATAGAACTAGGAAATATTTTCTAGTATATTCGTAAATTTTAACTTCTCCATTTGATAAAAACATATAATACCTTTACTTACGAATTCGACCAATTTCATAATAAATATATTATATCTAATCAGTTCACCCCATTTTTTATCCACAGGAACAGAATCTGAACCAAAAAAATATATAGATATTAGATAGTTAGGCAATTATTAATGTACTAGACACATTGAAGTTGACAAACTGTTAAAAACAATAACAGAAGATTTATAATCAGGTTTGAAATTATTCACGAAATTTCAGTCTCTAAAATAAAAAGTAAAATTACAAATGAAATAAATCGTAAATGTCTTAAGACATTAAGATATATTGGTCCATCTTACCATTTATTATCATATCGGACATTGTTTATAACTTTTAATTAATCGACGTTAAATTCAAACAATCATTCTGTATATAAATAAGAAAGTATATATTATTTCTCTGTATATATATATTATTAATTCTCTCCACTGTATAATTGAATAAAAATGTAAAAATGTAAGAAACTAAAATAAAAGATTAGAAAAACGCAAATATATGTCAAATAATGAAGTTCCTGCTATTAAATGGTCAAAAAATAGGTGCTTTCTTCTGTTAATGGTAACTTATTATTATGGCAGAGGGCGCCATTATATTATAATGCAAACAGGGGAGTTGGTGACCAATAGGAAAATTATAAACGTTTAAGATTGACTTACTATAGACATTATATAGAATTTAAAATTCACCAGTAGTTATATGGTTCAAATTAAAGAATATTCTTCTTAATCTGAGGAGTCAGTTAGATTTTAATACGTTCCTCTATCGACATGAATCATTTATTTAAAAAAACCAATGATAATTTTCATTCGTTCAATTGTATAACGAAATAATTGTAATTTTCAATATGGTTACACTGTCTTGCCCTTGACGTTTGACGACTGACGACTTTGATTGACGTGTTTCATTCATTTATTTTCATCGCCTTGGAGTAGTTTCTTTGGTTATTTAAAAATATATTATAAATTATTTGAAAATGTTTTCCATAGTTTTTTCTGGCAAATAATGTAATTAATAATGGAGGAGGACGATCCAGTAGTACAGGAGGTGAATAGATTATCGCAGTTGTCCTTACAACGTGGTGACGGTTAAGGTTATGTTTTTTAAATAAAACCCCTTATTGTGGCTTAATTATTACTTAATCATTTGCAGATTCCTGTTTTTCTTTCACAAGCTTTATCTAAAAATTTATACGTATACCAGTACCCTGTCAGACCAGCCAACAGAGACTGGAAGGATGTTAAAGTCACGAATGCTTCAATCAAACCCAAAAATCAACTCGTTAGACTGGAAATTGGCTTAGATACATACAGTGATAAATATTGTCCATCTAAAGGCGAGCAGATTGCTATCAACACCGATGGACAACAGGTATATAATTGTAATTGGTGATATCTATTATTACATGTGAAATATCAGTTAGTTTGTCTATTATTTTAATGTGTAGTAATATAATGGAACTCTAGTCTGTGGTAACAGTATAAGCTGGTGGGACCCCAATGAAATATGGTATTATAAATTTAGATTCAGTTATGTAACATTATGACAAGTTTCTTATGAATTAACCATGTTGGTTTCCAGTAGGAACCATGTGGAAGTCAACCTAACATTGCTAGCAATAGTCCAATTATTTAGCATAATTAACAATTCCCTCCTGCCTCTAAGAGACAATTGTGTAGGTTTGGCTCTTATTGATCCATGTTACTCAACCACATTTCTTTGTTAGAATGAATTTAAAATAATTTTAGTTCAAATAGACTACATGAGATACTATGGATATTAGAGGGTTTAATTTGTGGATATATAGGTTGCTTCATATATACTAATAAGGGTTCTTTACTTGTTAAACAAATTAAGATAGAAAGCATTCTATCCTAAATGGTATGGTCAAAGTAGCTCAATGAAACTTACTATGTTATATTAAATTTAAATAAATGTTTTCATATTGATATCAATTAATAAATATATGATAGTATTTATTCCATTCTGTTTCATATGTTTTTAATATCACATTAATGTGTAGCTTATGTTATTACTCATGATAAAATCAATATTGTCTTTCATACAGAAGGTAAGTGTGTGTACCTAACACACACTTTTGCATTAATTATATTAGTATGGATTTAGAATATTTAATATTATACCAGAATAATTTGTAGAGATTTAATTGTCATTAAATTAGGAGTTTTAATATATTATGGGTTAAAGTATGTAATTGCCGAATTGCACTGAAAAATTATAACTTGGTTTTTTCTAAGATAGGACATAGTAATTTAATCAAAATATATACCCTCATTATCTATACATTGTTGCCATCTAATCGGAAGTTCATTTATGCCTTTATGACAGAATTCTGGGGATCTAGATTCAACATACTGTGTGAGAGTATTTTGTACTGCCTCATACACTCAAAAATATCTCAATATGAAGGTTTTATGTCAATTCAGAGTATCTATTGCTATAGAACGGCAATTTCGTACTTTAATTCATATTATTTTACCTTTTTGTACTGGACTTTTAGTATAGAATTGAATTCAACAGAAGACTAGTGTCTTGTATTGCATTCAATTCTATACTATTTTTGTCATGATTGTATTTTACTAATAAAAGTAACAGTACAGTATTTGAAACCTTTGGGTGATGTAATTTAATTATTGTTTTTAAATTAATGAAATAGGAGTCATCATGGCATGTGAAAGAAAAGGATCGATCTCAGTACTTCAGGAATGGTATCATGGACAAAATTGTTTATGAAAGCAGTACCCCATGCGTGGAGTCACGCCATTATGCTGTAGCTATATTGCAGGATAAGGAGTTGCATTGTACACCTATTCAAGGTATTGTATACATACTGATTGTAGTAAGCAGTATTGTTTTTTATAGAATTGGAATGACAAACAAGCTTTATATCTATTATTAACTGGGTCTTAATATGAACTAATATTATGGCAAATAAAGGTATTTATCACTCAAAAAGAAATACTATTTACAAACAAGCTGCCAGTACACCTAATGGTGAGTGGTATCTCTCACCTGTATATATGATGAGCATTATATATAATTAGTAAATCATGGGATCTTACCACTTTTAATTTTAATTGAGCTCTCAATATTATGGTGGGGTGTCAACTGCCATGATCATGAGTAAACTTAGACTTAACAGTATAGAGCACTAAATACTTGTGACAACCATACCCATACCATGACACCTGTCTTGTGTTGCTATTTTGGAGGAATGAGGTGTCATAATAATAATAACCAATTCGCAATCCCCTTTCACCTTCTATATGTAGATTGTTATGAAGCATGCAGTAAATCTACATTTGTTTGTAGGGGTGGTCCAAATGAGGCCGTCATATTCATATTACGATAAACAGGACAAGCGAAAACATGATAAAAATAAATCTAATGGTTCAGATGATGAAGAGAAAGACAGTGATGTTCAACAGGTAAGCTCTTTGTATGTTACTTGTTTTTCTACAAAATCAGTATATTCTCGTATATCTTTCTATAGTATAAAACAAAGTCACCACCGCTGTCTGTCCCCTTATATCTTCTTAATTACATAACGGATTTTAATGCAGTTTTCAGTAATAGATAGAAAGGTTAAAATGGAAGGTTTATATGTATAATGCATCCGTGTGAAGCCGGGACAGATCGCTAGCTACCTATAATGAGAAATCAGGATCACTATGTATTTTTGGCAATTTTATACTTTTTTGACATTTTTTGTATTCATAAATACTAAATAACCAATCTGATCAAAATTGGGGTGGATGGCTCTACATAGTATCCTCTTTCTTATTTTGTCACTGACATTTTGATCAAACAATCCATATATAGGGCTTTGCGTGAGACTTGTCTATGCTTATAATGTCAATTTATGTCTGTAGTGTCATTTTACTTCTTACATAACCATGTAAACCTGTGTGGGAAGTTAATAGGTTATGGTAAAGTAATCAAAATATTAATGTACATATTCCTTATCAACAGGTAACTGTAAAATTTGCTCGTCAAGAGACAGAAGTAGCTAAGAAGGCACGGGAAAAGTCGTTTGAGACTATGTCCCACCGGCTATCAGAAGAACTGTGGTACGATGGATTGTGGAAACATCATGACACTGATCAGGCTGAGGTACGTATAATACTGTATTATTCAGGGTCCTGTCAGTGCCGGATTAAGCCAGCATACAGCTTGTAGCAAATTCTTTTAGTATGTCCATCATTTGGTTTCGGTATTACATTATTATGTTTGGGATTTTAAAATGATAACGCTTGCTTATTTTCTTCTTATTTTAAATTGGACAAATATTTTTTAGTTTCTTAATTATAAACAAAAATATAATATAAACAAATTTTTCCTCTGTGTTATACTATAATAATAATAATTACTCTTTATTGCGCATACATAAACATAGGACAGTAAGTACAAAACAATGAAAATAAATGTTTTACAAAAGGTGGTTTTATCACTATCAACAATCACTTACAGACAACCTGGTGTTAACTATACTCTTATAGACTCGCTATATTGTCTCTCATATTGTGTTCTAGTTGGAGCGCCTCAAACTGTTCAGTGGGACATCGTCGGACGGGTCTGCTTTAGCACTCCGCGGGCGGGAGTACGTCCGCGCACTAGTGCCGCCCGGCGACGAGAGCCAGCCACCAGACCAGATACCTACGTTGCAGGATCGAATCCGAGAGATGCTAATCAGTGGTGAGCACATGATTTCATTCCAGTATTAACATTTCATGAGATAGCGTTAACTGATTTTATTAAAATGTTATTGATTTGAGATAATGGTGATTTTTGCTTATTTCGTCGTTTTTCGTTGCGACTAACAACTGGAAGATAAATAAATATTTCTCATGAACTTTAATGCTACGACAAATAAGAGAAGTAAATAAAAAGAATAAATCGCGATCATCTCGAAATTGCAATATTTGGTTTATATTTTACCTCTACATACCTATATTAATTACTTATACTTTGCTAGCTGTATTCTGTGACGTTGTTCAAAATCCAGTTGTTGGGCTAACTGATTCGATGCCTCTTGCTCGTCTTATAGTCCTTCATTCATGGCAGAATATACTGCTAGCGCAGTGGGATGCGCAGTTTCATTATTATGTGCTAAAAATATTATGTGTGTGTTTGGTGAAAGCTCGGCTGATGACCCTGGGCGAGGTGCGACGGCGGCTGGGCACGACGGAGAGTGCGGCGCTGGCCGGCGCGCGGGCGGCCGCGTGCTGCGTGCGGGGCGCGTGGTGCGCGCGCTCGCACGACGTACTGCCACGCGCCGCACACGCGCCGCACGCGCTGCGCTGCGCCGCCAGGGACCACGTGGTGAGTGCTCGGAGACAGCTAGGTAGGTGAGGTGCGGCCGCGTGCTGCGTGCGGGGCGCGTGGTGCGCGCGCTCGCACGACGTACTGCCACGCGCCGCACACGCGCCGCACGCGCTGCGCTGCGCCGCCAGGGACCACGTGGTGAGTGCTCGGAGACAGCTAGGTAGGTGAGGTGCGGCCGCGTGCTGCGTGCGGGGCGCGTGGTGCGCGCGCTCGCACCGACGTACTGCCACGCGCCGCACACGCGCCGCACGCGCTGCGCTGCGCCGCCAGGGACCACGTGGTGAGTGCTCGGAGACAGCTAGGTAGGTGAGGTGCGGCCGCGTGCTGCGTGCGGGGCGCGTGGTGCGCGCGCTCGCACGACGCTGCCACGCGCCGCACACGCGCCGCACGCGCTGCGCTGCGCCGCCAGGGACCACGTGGTGAGTGCTCGGAGACAGCTAGGTAGGTGAGGTGCGGCCGCGTGCTGCGTGCGGGGCGCGTGGTGCGCGCGCTCGCACGACGTACTGCCACGCGCCGCACACGCGCCGCACGCGCTGCGCTGCGCCGCCAGGGACCACGTGGTGAGTGCTCGGAGACAGCTAGGTAGGTGAGGTGCGGCCGCGTGCTGCGTGCGGGGCGCGTGGTGCGCGCGCTCGCACGACGTACTGCCACGCGCCGCACACGCGCCGCACGCGCTGCGCTGCGCCGCCAGGGACCACGTGGTGAGTGCTCGGAGACAGCTAGGTAGGTGAGGTGCGGCCGCGTGCTGCGTGCGGGGCGCGTGGTGCGCGCGCTCGCACGACGTACTGCCACGCGCCGCACACGCGCCGCACGCGCTGCGCTGCGCCGCCAGGGACCACGTGGTGAGTGCTCGGAGACAGCTAGGTAGGTGAGGTGCGGCCGCGTGCTGCGTGCGGGGCGCGTGGTGCGCGCGCTCGCACGACGTACTGCCACGCGCCGCACACGCGCCGCACGCGCTGCGCTGCGCCGCCAGGGACCACGTGGTGAGTGCTCGGAGACAGCTAGGTAGGTGAGGTGCGGCCGCGTGCTGCGTGCGGGGCGCGTGGTGCGCGCGCTCGCACGACGTACTGCCACGCGCCGCACACGCGCCGCACGCGCTGCGCTGCGCCGCCAGGGACCACGTGGTGAGTGCTCGGAGACAGCTAGGTAGGTGAGGTGTGGCGGTGGCGTGCTACTACACCCTGCACTCGTTTACCAATTTGTTTTCCCAAGGGGGAATTGTTCAGTAAAAATCCGTTCGTCTAGGGAAGTGAACTGATATAAAATGTTTACTCTATTAGAACAACTTTTAGAAGAACATTTGCTGAAAAAATCTGAGTAGGACATGGATAAAAATTCCACGTTATCGCTCCCGGACATCGCGCTGATTGGTTTCTGCAACCATATGTTATAACATATATATAGGTTTTATTATATGACAAAAAATCTCAGAAAAAACTGGAAAGGATCCAAAAATGCTCATAAAAATCATGGATTTAGCTAAAGCTTTTGACACAGTTCCTATGACTATTCTATTAAAACTTGAGGTTATTAATAAGATCATCTTTGTGTCATATATTTTGTATTGTCATCTTAAGATGGTGTCTCACAAGGTATTATTTTGGAACCGTTTTTGTTTCTAATGTACTTAAATATCTCTGATGTTTTTTATTATGAAAATTCTTAAACATGTTTGTGAAAATAAAATCTCGTAACGAAGTAAATACTTTTCTAATTGAATTAGATTCAGTGTATACATACTTGCCCATGTAGTAACAACCTACCTTATATTATGAGTATATTAAAAATATATTTATTAAATTTTTCATAATTCAAAGCAATATGCAGAAATGAATTTCATAATTTTAGCTAATATCTCTTGTTTACAATTACGTTGCTGCTTTTGCGGTCATATTTACAAAATGTTTTCTTTTCCAGCTCTATTTGTTCACTCAACATACATATATAGACCGACGGAAGGTGGCCGCTGCAGTTCGACTTCCTCCAGAAGATGTTTTAGAGATTATTAGCTCAGTTGCTAAATATAATCCACAACACCATGGTTGGGAGTTACTAATACCGCCAGATGTCGCTTTCGAAACTAAGTACCCTGATGTTATGCAACGGCAAAACCTTTACTGGGAGGCTCGTCAGAGATCATTCAATGAGATGCTCATAGGAGAAAATGTCCCCAAACGGCAGCGGAAGAAGTCGCAAAGAGAATCTGTCAGCTCCGATACCATGATGAGTCCAAAACCAAGGTGTAATAGTGTGAGTGAGGAAGACAGTGATAGAAAAAGACATAAAAACAAATCCGCTACCGGTAGCGGTAAACGGACACGAAATATTAGTTCAAGTAGTGCTCATGACGGTACGTGATCATCATAAATTAGGTAGGTTATCAAATTTGAGTAGCACTGGAGCTATTTCGATCTCGCTCGCTATTAAGACGTGTTATGAGTGTGAACGAAATAGAACAATAATAACTGTGACATAATAATATTTTGTTATCCCAATGACTGTTAACATGTGTAGACGTGGTGTGGTCGCTAGCGTGGCTGATGCCCCGAGTGTAAACAATTGTTAATTTATTACGTACGTTTAATTTGCATGTATATAACGGATTAATATATTTTTATAATTTATATTACCCACGCATATTCACTCTGTGGATACATTCAAGAGAAGTGTCGTTTGATTTGACGTAAAAAACTAAATTAAAATTGCTTAGATCAGTACAACCTACCTTTAACTATATGTCAAAATTAGTGTCTCGCCTTTGATCACGAACTATTTAATTGTTTAAATGCAGTAAATATAATTTAATAAAAGGTTGCTCTTTCTTCTTGTATATGTTTTATATAAAAAGTAACCACATTTTTCAAAGCTAACGACATTTTATTTTTCTGTTAGAGGATGCCGCGTTTTTGTCCTAAGAACCACGAAAAAGTAAAATTCCATAATTATAACTGGCTTGTCAAACCAATTCAATCATGCGACAAAATAATGCACTTTCTCCGCAAAAGCTATTTTAGTTGACAGTTTGTTTTATAGCAGTGTTATTTAATTTATTTATTTATAAGTAATGAAGTTTATAAATTGATTATTCTGTATTAAACTATATTCGGTAGGCTGTATGTACCTAGCAATTTCACCGCGTTAACACAGTATTACAATGTGATCTTCATAATAGTGCAACGCTTTTGAAGTCGAGCTATATCGCTACATGTGTATTCACTTTAATGTATATCAGCCTTTATTACCGAAAACATATTAACTTTTCGGTATAGAACATTTCTCTAAATGTATCTTTTCAATGCTCTATATTTCAATTATGTAACGCAGTTACTAATGATTCTCAGTTGAAACTAAATCTACAGTTTTGCGATTATGTATTTAATACATTTAATAGCAAAGTTGCAGTTGCATTTGCGAATAGTACAACTTGTGTAACCTTTCATATATAATGGCAAGCTTGTTAACTTTTCAACTCGTAAAGTGGATCTAATTTCACCGATTTTTTGATATATAAAACAGCTCATATAGGTCGTGTGTTATAAATGCAAATAGTGAAATTATATTCCATCACTATTTGCCATTTTTATATCGTTCGAACAAACCATTACGCGGCACCAGCTAGTAGTCAGTTCGCTGATTTATAAAAAGTAAAACGGCGGGAAAGCAATAGTGCGCATCACAGTTTCGTGGTTGAGTTTATTTAAAATCAAGTGTGCTGAAAAACGACGTACGATATACGTGCGTATTTAATACACTCGGCTCTATTACGCCCTCGTCTTCGGCTCCGGCTGAAATTTGATGTGTTATAACCATCATAACGCACTTATGTGTATCGTAAGTATAATATTTTGTTACAACTGAGAATTGTTAGCAATTATATATGATAAAACATCAGTTCAAGTACATTCTCTGCTTTTGAGTTAAAAGTATGGTGGTATAGCTGGTAGATGGATAACTAAGTAAATGCAAAAGTGCCAGTCTGCCTGCTACTTTTTCATGACTAAACAGCTGTTTTTAAATAATTTTTACGTGAAAATAGTATCACGATCATAGACATTGGGTATCTTTTGTCTCAAAAGCAGACAAGGTCGTGAGTATTTGGTAGTATTATGTAAATTACCTATTTATTATTGACTGCGCTCAATACAATACTTTCATATGAATTAGCAAATATACTATGATCTTGTAATAGTGTGTGTATGACACTAGTTATGTGATTTATAAATAATACATTGTTATTCTTTTGCAAGCAAAATAAACATTTTAATATTTTTATTTTGTGTTATATTTTTTATTATAAACTCATTTTTTTGTTAATAGAAACTATCCTTTGAAGTTGGAACGAAATTTCACACAGTGAGACATTTAATAAAATTTGTACATGTTACCTACTCTAATGTCAATCTTTTTTTGTTCTGTTTATCCTTTAACGGAAAGGCAAAGAGAACAGCGTCCATACAGCCGTTAATGTCAGTCAGCAGTTGACAGCTCACCTAGTCCTAAGTGGCGACCGTTGTTCTTATTATGCCACTCAGCACTCTGTAGTGCTTTAAATATATACGATGGATGGTTACCATCAGGGGTCCGCCAACATAATTGCCATTTCGGTTACAAAAAAATATTGAATTCTGTATAGCATGTCTTTAAAGCAAATAAAATTTTATCATGTATTTAGCAAAGTCAACGGTTAACACCACCGGTGACCACGTTTTAATGGCGAAATATAAAAAAAAGTAGGAATAAAAATAAAACAACATTATTCTCCATAAAATATCTATTTGGTGCTTGTCACAATAACAACAGGATCATGGAAAGACTATTGTATGAGGCAGATATATGATGCAACTTATACGCTTATTGGCTATATTAAAAATACAATGTAGGAGAGAATGAAATCGTACATCTGCAGCCCGATTACATAAAGCAATTATAATTTCTTATTTCAAACATATTGAAATTATTTACGAAAGTTTTGAGTTGTAGTTGCTAATTTAGAACTCAACATCGAGCTTACATGATCAATGGATATAACAACAAAGATAATTTAATATTGAGTAAATTGTCTGTTTGGGTTATGACCACTGATTAGACTATTTCCTTTTGACAAAATTGCAATAGCATTTTCTGGTGGTCACTCTATTCTCTCTAAATTAATTAAAAGAAGTATTTGTATTTTTGTAAATATATACAGTCATTTGAAAAAACTAAGAGCCGAGTTTCTTGTTAGTTCTTCTTAGCTCGAAAGCACTTAGAACTGGCAGTAGATTTAACATACCATAAGAGTCTGTAATAGATCTATATGAATAAAGATATTGTGATTATGTAGGTACTATAGCGTATTTAAATGATTTCATTTGTCTATTACCTCTATAGCTAGTTAAGTTTTATCAGCGTTAACTACAACATTAAACTATATATTTTAGTTATAAACTACATAGAGATTTATTTAAATTAATAACATTGTTTATGCTTTAGTTTGTCTTTGGACTGAAATTGGTGGAAATCAGAGAATATTATGATATTAATACACAGTTTAAAACTACTAACTAGGACACATACGAGCTATTGCTAAACATAAAAAAATACAATTACTTATGTATATATTTCCACATAATTAACACACGAGTTACATATTATTTATAGAATATTTAATGAAAATAGAAAACATTTAAATAAAATTTAAAAATATTCACCGGTAGAGTGCAAAACAGGTAGGTAACTATAATTTAAAAAATACTACTTTTCTTTTTGTATGAAGTAGAATAGAGGGTATACCATAGACACTAATTGATACGGTCGTACGTACTAAGTACGAAATAGTTAAGTCTTTATAAATATACGAGATTCGACAACAAGGTATTTAACATCAAAAAACAGTGTAGGACATCATATGCCTGTATGATCCTAGGTTCAACCTTTAATATCTAGAAAATCGAGGTTTTCTCTAAGAGATTGCTTATAGCGATAAGGCCAACCTTTCTCATATCTGTTCTAATATACTGCTTTTTTTATTTTTGTATTTGTTCTCCGCAATTAAGTGTAATTATTATTATTATTAAAATTAATTCAATATTTTAGCCGTCAAAACGTATCAGATAGTATTTTATAATATACGACACTAATGAATTAATAACTAAGATATTAATGAATTACAACGACGAACAATGTCACAATATTGAACCTAAAAAAAAATATTAAACTTAAAATTTGAAATAAAAACTCTTGTCTGAACTCGGAAGATTCAGAACGAATAGGGGAGCGTCAAGATTTTTATCTAATAGGTACAACTGTAGAAACTACTACCATAAATTATAAATGTTTTTTTTTTATAGAATTACACAGATTACGCAAAAATAGATTTCGATAAAAGTTCTAATACATTAATAAGTAAAATGTTTTACATTAATAACTACAAGTAATTTAAGGATATTCAGGATGTTGATACAAGAAAAATTGTCGTATGAAAATCCTGAAATCCTAATTTATATATCAGACCAGTGACGTCAGATATTTCTATAGATAAAGTAAGATGTATTATAGAATTAGAAAGCTTTTGATTAATAATAATAGAATTCTTTAGTTGAATATAGGAATATATAAAAAAAGATCACATTTTTATTGTGAACCAGAATTCATTAACTTCTTATGAAGTCTAGGATGTAGTATATGTACTTACAAATAAAAATAAAAAAATATAATTCAGTTAACAATAATTAAAGAAAACTATAAAAAATATTACAAAAATAATGACAATTTGATTTATACATTAACCGTTTTCTTCATAAAACTGAAACTTTTCAAACACATTTTACTTATTAGACTATTTTGTTACTTTCTTTCAAACATTTTAAAAATAAAATATTTAAACTATGTATGCATTAGTTGAACAGTGAAAATAGGTTTTAGTATTAGGTACTAGTATTTTTTTTACTCAAATTATTTATTTTTTATATTATACCCGAAATCTTAGATATATTATAACAACTGTGAGAATGAAAATATCTCATTTTATTTAATTATCATAATTATTTCTTACATAGAAAAGTCAACGGTATTAAAATTCGACTCGCAAATATATCGACTCTGCTCGGTATTATTATTATAACAACCGAAAAACGGGACTAATCCGTCCTATTCTATATACAGAACGTATGGTCACATTAGTTTTTACTAAGCTTATTACAGCTTTAACGTTTTTATGAATAAGGTATAGAATAATATAAAAATAAATGTAACAAGTTAGAAAGAAAATCCTACACTTATGTTTAAATATATGTAAGTATATTTTTGTGCCGGAAAACATTATTTTATACTAATACAATGTGTTAAGGAAATAGAGGAACAAAGCTATGGCACAAGTAACATTCATAAGCTTTTTATTATATAAATTTAAAAGTATGTTAAGAAATAATAAATAAAGCATTTAGTAAGAATACTTTTTATCGACATATTTTTTTTATTGGAATAGCAAGGTGACGGCCGATGGTAAGTGGTAGCCGTCGGACAGCAATACGGACATCATGTTATCATGTGACGCCCGTGATATACCACCCATGCGTTGTCATTCCGGAGGATACTAGTAATTATGGTATTTTGTTTTATGAAGCTTATAAAGATTTCAATAAAACATGAATGTTTCTTCCTATTTGGAAATCATTAAATAAAATCTAATGGCCCATTGCTTAATAGGATCAATAGGTTGTAACTACATTTTCTTTAAAAAAATCAGATTCCAAATATTAATAAAAGGGGACCAATCTGAAAGTATACTGTTTCAACTAAAAAAGTTTTTTACTAATCGGTTTAAATGATGGAGTTATTAAGTAACAAAAAAAAAGCAGTCCAATTAAGAACGTCGCCCTTTTTTGGAGTCGGTTAAAAATATATATCTCACATATGATAATTAAAATATTTTCAAATAAAAAAAGATTTATACAACAAAACCTTCCAAAACAGCTAAATTGAGAATATCCTCCTTTTCTGGAGTTGGTTAAAAATAATTACCTCACATACGGTAATTAAAATACAAAGTTTGTAAATGACGGAGTTATGAAATAATAAACGATAAAATAACAGCCGAATTGAGAACCTTCTCCTTTCCTGGAGTCGGTTAAAAATAATTACCTCACATATGATAATTAAAATATGTTCCTAACAAAGCAAGCCAGAGCCACAAATAAAGCAGAGAATCCGTTAATTTTTACAGCGCTGTTGCAGAAACCCAAGTCGCAAGTGTTCGCCAGCTCTCCAAACTTGCTGACTATGTAGGACCAGTCGCAGAGACCCACCCTGCAACCCTCGAGGTACATAGGGTATTCATTCTCTAGGAATAATACTTGATATCTCTCTTTACCTTGGAAGTTTCCATTTGTCGTACATCTGAAAAGGAATTTAAATAATGGATTAGGATGAAAAATATATGACTATTCAACAGTGTCAAATTTGTTTCCGGGATCAAAAAGATTATACTAGATTTTTCCATATATTTTTGTATTAGACGTGTTGTAAGATCGGCACTTGTGACTTACTTATAAAGAACTGCAGCTGCATTGGCGTTGAAAGGCGACATTCTGGAGGTGCTCCACTTGCGGGCCTGTACCGGGCTCGTGTGGTAGTTGTCACCAGTCAGGGGGGCGGGGTCCTGGTGGGTGCCTAAGGTGGTGAGCAGCATCAGCAGCATCTCCGAGTCAGTCAGGTGGATTTGAGCCCGAGGCTGTTGGGGGTCCGGATCTGGAATGAAAATTAGATTGGTCATCACAAACTTAAGCATATTTAAATATTTTCTTTTTTCTGTGTCTCATCATTATCATTTCAGTCCGGAATACGTTCACTATTGAACAAAGGCCTCGATCTAAAATCTCCATGACGATCGGTCTTGCTGTGCTCGCATCCAATGCTTTCCAGCGATCTTGACCAAATCGGTCCTGCGCTGGCTAGCTTGAGACTAGATGGCGTTGTGTGAATTATTTAGGGATATTATTATATTATTAGTATAATATCTATTCTACATAGACTTTAAAAAATATTCTGCGTGGGTACGTCCGACTTATCTATTTTAACCTACAAGCACATTGCTTTGGAAACTGTTTCGGCTCAAAGGTGAAGTAAGGTAGTAAAATTATAAGATAAAAGGTATGCGTTCTGTTACAATTATTAAAAGATTTATTACCATGTTGAATGTGCTTAGTGAAGAATCCAATCATATCCCTTAGAAGGGTGCAACCAATCTTCGGAGTATCTGGTGAACCATACCCGTACTTGTAATATGTCTCCAAGTCCTCTGCATACTCGATAAGTTGCAGTTCTTCTCGCGAGAATACCTTAAAAATATAATGGATTCTGCTTAGTTGCTATATGCTAAATGCTTATATGCTAAAATATACAGATTTTAGCATTCAAAATATACTTTATGATTGTTATCCAAGATAGGGTGTATGTTTTAATGTTTCATTAATTTAATGTGGACTGGTGACCCTATAGCCAGAATAGAACAAGCTTAGTCCAATACAAGACTTCGACCTTCTGTCTAATTAAAAAACCCACTTATTCCAATAATATAAAAATCTTATTGTTAGTCAAAAATGTATTTTTTTAAAACGGCTCTTGGACTCAGCGGTCTAACAGTACGTTTTTCCAGAAACTTTATCACGCACAACCTCATTGTGGTTGGTGGTCACCTTCCAGCAATAGTATTTCCGAGCCGATACGACATCAAAAGAAAGGAGCTCGGCAACATACTTGCACTTCCCCTGGTGCTCATGGACGGCGGTAATTACTTACTATCAGCTGAGTCGCAAACTCATTTGTCCTCTATGCTATAAAAAAAATATCGCAATTCTATATATGTAGGTACAAGAGGTGACTCACCGCGCACCATGGTGAGATGGCTGCGTTATCCCAGGCCTTGTTGTAACGACACATCTGGTACATGCTATATACTATATCAGGGTTAATGTCATAGTTGAAACCCAGCCTTAGAGATACGTTGGTTATCATCTGTAAACATCAAAAAGAAAATATCTTTATTCATGTAGGGCTATTACAGACTCTTATATTTAAAAAAACTACTGTTGGTTGGTCGAGCTAAGAATTGACAAGAAAACTCAGCTATTCTTTCAAATGTATTTGTACTTGTTGACAAAAATACAGTTAAATTTTTAAATTCAAAATTAGGGAGAATAGAAAACATATTTCAGGACTAAAAGTACTACATTGCAATGAGGAAATTCTGCTGTAGAAATTTAGATTTCTTTTATAATAAATGTAATGTATGTAATAGAGTTATTAAAATCATTATCTAAAAGAATTTTTAATATTATTAAATTGAGACAGTATAACATATGAATGTGGATGGTAATAAGGGCAGAGGAAGGCAGAAAGAGATGGATGACAGATGATATGGGAAGAAAGGTAGAATAACGAGATAAATAATCAAAGTAGCTCTGACAAAGAGGACTGTCTGTAGCACCTATTGTGTACGAATGTTTGTTTAAGGGACAGTCGCCCGTTATTGTTTTGGATACTAGGGGTGTCATGATGTACGTAATGATCTTCATGTATATGTTCGCGACCGATGCCACTTACCACCATTTAGACGATGAGCTTGTTTGCCATTCCAGATTCATAAATGTACAAATAAAAAAAACTCACGTCCTTATACTCCTGTTTTGATTGGAATATGTGCATTTGGGATAAAGTGTCGTTATTCTCCCCGACGTTGCTCTTCCACGCCGAACAGAATTTGTAAGGCTGAAACAATGATAAAATGTACCTATCAATATGTAGGATAACGATACACAAACAATTTTATTTATCAGAAAATACTAGGTATAAAATATTATTTAACGACTTTGCCCGGGTCAGCAGGTGTAATGTATTATTGAAAATAAATATTAGCTTTCTGCACTCCTTCTCCATATAGATTTTAACTGTAGTATTCAGTTGATGTCCTCGGTGATCGAGCGGTTTAGCACACCACCTTACTACTGATAGACGCAGATTTGATTCCTCGCACGGTACAAACATTTGTAATCATGAGTACGATTGTGTATATCGGTCTAGGTGTTTTCGATGTATATTATGTTCTGTTTAAAAATGTATCTAATTATTTCTATCAGTAGTCTATTAGTACCCATAATACAAACTCTGTTTACCTTAGGACTAGATGGCATTCTGTGAATTGTCCTGAGATATAATTATTATTTTTCATGTCAGACATCTAATAGGTACCTTTTTAGTGTGATATATCATAAAATATAACAAGAGAGATACTCACCCTGATCCCTTTCTCGTCATTATCTCTGGGTATGTCTAACCCTTCGGTCGGTCCCCGGAACATGCCATCTGCGGATGCCCTGAAACTTGCACTATAAAGAGGTTCCTCCACATATTTTACCTGAAAATAAAGTGGATACATAATCGATACACTTTCATAATTTCGCTGTACTTCAGTTTGTTGTACTTATTAATAATACGAAGAAGAAAAGGCCTCAGTCTATACTTCAATTGGTTGTTCTTAATTATAATATGAATAAGAAAGAGCGTCAGTCTCTCTGTTCGTTTGTTACTTTATCCCAAGTAAACGGTAATACAGATATTTTATCGAAAAAAAAACGGTTATACGGATTTTTTATCTAAAAAAAGCGATACAAGATAGACACTCTTTCGTATCAACAATAGTAAGATAGAGATATAAAACTTTTATTTGCGTTAAAGAGCACACACAAGGTACAGTAATATAAAGAAAAAAAATACACAACTACATTGGTCAGTTAGCGATATATAATATAGGTTGTTAATGTTCCACTGATTTTTAGGCAATACCTGAAAATCAGTGGATACGCGAGGACACATGTAACAAGACCACCGCATGTAACCACTATCACGAATAGCAATAATAATAAATTATTACTATACACTACGCCACCAAGCGGGAGTTCACAAAAGAATAGTTATTAACTATTACAGATCAGTGAGTAGAATATATTTGATATATCATAAGAGCCTGCAATAGACCTAATATCTTCATTCATGTGGTCGTCATGAATGAAGATATAATAATAATAATCTTTATTTGCCTCAAATAATAAACTATTACAATTGCTGCTTATAATAAAATTTAGAAGTAATATTCGAAAAAAAAACAAAACGGTCTATAATTCAGAGAGGGCAATGAGTCTATACCTCACTGCTATTCTGTTATAGCCTTTATTAGTAAATTAATACAATAAAAGTACGACGACGATAGCATTTACTGTCCTCTGCTAATATATGCATTATATGAAATAAGACACAACATAAAATAAATTGAAAATGTTTGAAAATCAATATAATAAAACACACAAGAAAAGATAAATAAATCTTGCATAGTCAGGTGGTGTATAAGGTGTACGTATACTATAGGCAAAATTCGCGTATTTGTTTCTTAAAGCTTACCAAATAATCATGAGGATTGTCAGTGAGGAGTCCTGGATACCTCTGCTTCCAGGCCCTCATGAGCTGCTGCGTGGTCATGTACCCTTCGCTGGTGAGACCGTTTGCAAATGTAGTGTTGATATACGGTATCCACTGCCATCGTTGCAGCAGTTCGATGTCAGTAGAACAGATTCTACGCTGGAAATTTAATATTTTAAATGATGAAACAAACCAGAACTCAGAACTCAGTTTTGGTCTAAAAACAATTCTGTACGTTAATCTACGAATTGTATTTAAATCGGCGTGATATTTTTGAGTGAAAGAGTAATAAAGAAACGTGCTTTCAGACTTCTGCGTTATTCGGCGTGATATTTTTGAGTGAAAGAGTAATAAAGAAACGTGCTTTCAGAGTTCTGCGTTAATCGGCGTGATATTTTTGAGTGAAAGAGCAATAAAGAAACGTGCTTTCAGAGTTCTGCGTTAATCGGCGTGATATTTTTGAGTGAAAGAGTAATAAAGAAACGTGCTTTCAGAGTTCTGCGTTAATCGGCGTGATATTTTTGAGTGAAAGAGTAATAAAGAAACGTGCTTTCAGAGTTCTGCGTTAATCGGCGTGATATTTTTGAGTGAAAGAGCAATAAAGAAACGTGCTTTCAGAGTTCTGCGTTAATCGGCGTGATATTTTTGAGTGAAAGAGTAATAAAGAAACGTGCTTTCAGAGTTCTGCGTTAATCGGCGTGATATTTTTGAGTGAAAGAGTAATAAAGAAACGTGCTTTCAGAGTTCTGCGTTAATCGGCGTGATATTTTTGAGTGAAAGAGTAATAAAGAAACGTGCTTTCAGAGTTCTGCGTTAATCGGCGTGATATTTTTGAGTGAAAGAGTAATAAAGAAACGTGCTTTCAGACTTCTGCGTTAATCGGCGTGATATTTTTGAGTGAAAGAGCAATAAAGAAACGTGCTTTCAGAGTTCTGCGTTAATCGGCGTGATATTTTTGAGTGAAAGAGTAATAAAGAAACGTGCTTTCAGACTTCTGCGTTAATCGGCGTGATATTTTTGAGTGAAAGAGTAATAAAGAAACGTGCTTTAGCAACGGGAAACAACATGATGGTAATGGTGACGTGTACATCGAGTTCTGCGTTAATCGGCGTGATATTTTTGAGTGAAAGAGCAATAAAGAAACGTGCTTTCAGACCTCTGCGTTAATCGGCGTGATATTTTTGAGTGAAAGAGTAATAAAGAAACGTGCTTTCAGACTTCTGCGTTAATCGGCGTGATATTTTTGAGTGAAAGAGTAATAAAGAAACGTGCTTTCAGACTTCTGCGTTATTTAATTTAGCTCGTCGAACTGCCAACTCTTCCTTCCTTCCAAGCTACATACGAACTTTATTCCTTGTATGATAATGCCATTTTCAGAGGCGAAATACGCGACAAAATATTGGATGTAAATTGAAGAAAACTTAATATGATTAGTGATTATGTCAAAATCAAAGTCAACTATCATCGAATGAGAAATGGAACCCGCTATCATTATAAAGCAGTGTGCTAAACCACTAGACCGCCAAATGGCCGTCAATATACCATCATCGTCGTCACCTAGCAAGTTAATACCTACATGTCATAATTAGGAAGGCGAGTCATAATTAAAACTATGTACTCGTAAACAAAATATTAGGCCGCTGAATAATTAACAGTAGGTCTATGACCATGAAAAAACCGTCGGCTGTAAATATAAACAGCATCCAGATAACACAAAGTTATTGTACCTACAAGGTAGGGTACCATAACTTTTTTTTTATGTGACTGGAATAACAATCAAACAATACCTTATGGTATGACAACAGCCCCTTATTTTTTTTATGCAAATACCGCAGGTACTTTCATTTGACGGCCTCGGAGTTCTAGTGTTATAGAACACCGCTTTACTTCCGATGGTCGCTGGTTCGGTTCCTCGCACGGCACAAATATTTGTACGGCAATAACACAACGCCACAAACACGCAATAACACAAAAAATCTAAATATTTATATCAGCTGTCTAGAAACCAGATGGCGCTGTGTTAATTATCTAGGGCTATTTATTTACATTTAGTGAAAAAACAGTTAATTTGATATTACAAACATACAATCAAATTTTATTTATTTCTGTAGACTTTGTCGCAGTTTGGTCGCCGAACAGTCAATTCGAGGCTATAGCCCAATTCCATTCATTGCCTGATGATGCCTAATTCAGAGGAAGCACGTATCGCAATATAGGTGTAGATTCAATAAGAGTCGGAATATGATTACTAATAGGGAAGGTTAAAGTAGTGGTGGTAGTTACGAAGAACGAAATAATATAAGTTCATTAAGTAATAAATATAAAAGTCTAAAGAGGCGCACTATATGCATAAATAGCGCTATAGACATTAGGTAACATCCTGTGACACAACTACACTACTAAGGACTAAAGACTAATGTTTATGTTGAAAAAAATAAAATTCATAGCGCTGACAATATTATCACTACGTGTTATTGTGTAATTATTTTAAATAACATCTATTTAAAAGAGGAACACACAAGTTTCTTGCTCATTCGTCATATGCGTTTTGAATGAGAAGTAGAATAAAAAAAATACTATTCAAAAGTGCTAGTATTGAGTTTAGTTGAATAAAGATTATTTATATTTCTAAAGAGTCATGCACCATACATCAAACAGTCAGTCATCAAGAAAGGAACGCTGAAGATGTGTCCAGTGGCGTGCCTTGGGAGAGGCCTATGTCCAGCAGTAGACTGAATTGGGCTGATGATTATGATGCATCACAGAGTCATCATACATTACGTTTGAACCTGAAAGTTTTATTTCCACTTACGTTTGTGTTTCTGAAATTTCCATTCCTGTAATTGTCCACAATATTAGCCTTGAGATCTGCGAGATGTTGCAATTTTGTTATTTCACTGGCTTCAGGGTTGTTGGAGCCATGTCTGCTGGCCAGCCAAAATGCTACGGGTAGGCAACCTGAATATAAGATATGACATTATTAGATCCTACTCCTTTAATGGACAGTAACAGGATAGTGAATGCTGGCAGAGTACCAGCGTAGGATGATAAGACGAGCCTGAGGCCACTTTAGCTAGACGTCGTGATATTATTCATCACAAATTAACCAGGTTTCCCGGGAGATATTACTGCCAATTGAGTTACTAATCTCCAATATTGATAAACATAATCCTGAGAAATACAATGTGGCATCAATATAATAGTTTGAGAAATATGTAGCGAAATCGGTGTACCTATACCTATATTTGGAAACATAAACACAAGAAAAGGTTTTGTACGTATGTTACCTACATGATTATTACTATTAGTTACAGAAAATATCAGTCCAACTAAGAAACACCTTTTTGCAAGTCGGTTAGAAATCGGATAACTAAGCACGCCTCCAAGATAAAATGGCTCGTCAAATATACCACAGCATCACCTCATATCCGGTGTCTCCTGTAACACGGCGGTTAGGTAGCTATATTAAAAATAGATAACGCGTGCGTGCCACCAATAATGATGGTTACACCATAATGAAAACACCGTAAAACCCATAAATAACTGCGCTAAATGATGACCTCAGAAAGACGGCCGACCCTATTAATTATCCTATTTGTCAGTACTAAATGAGGGTAGGTAGGTATCGATTAGATTTGATTTAATGTTACACGAATGTAGACAAGGTGGTGGCCAACCTGGTTGTAAGTTATAACCGTCACCTATACTCACTTACACATGAAAATAACTTTGGTAAGAGAGAAAGAAGAAAAGAAAATTATATTCGATATACGCAACAGTAAGAACAGTAAATAATAATAAAAAACTAATGAATTCTGCTTCAATGTGTAGTCTGCAATGCGAGTGGTTCTGTTCAAGGAAGTAGAGAGCGTCATTTAATCATCATTGCATGTCAAATATGTTTTATTACTATGCCTACCATCCATTTCAACCTTTTTTTCCGTGTAGGCATACTTTAGTTGTGACAGGCTGGCAAGAAACTCATCAAGCTGACACATCACCAAGACTAGCCGCATCTTATACAACTTACAGGATTTAAAATTTAAAGATTTGAGAAATAAATTATTCAAAGCTAATAACTATCACAAACATGACAGATTTTAAACAAAAAAAACTTATCAGAATAGGTCCATTCGTTAACGTAGCTTTCAAATAAGAAAACGTATCAGAATGTAAGAACATTTATCTCAATTTCATCAAACATTTATGTATTTATTTATTACTTTTAATACACATATAATAAACATATATTTGTATAATAAAACAGGGTGTGAAACCATGAGATAGGTATAGCTAGTTATTTAAAAATGCTTAACTTAATAAAGTACGATCCGTGCGTGATGCGCGAGCGAGTGATTGTTATATTATTGGCGTGGGTGGTAATGTGTGGTAATTGAAACATTCACACAGCAGAATCTGAATGAACGAACAACTGTATTATCGACAGAACATGCTAAATTGGTGAAGTGGAAAATTAAATGTTCACCCTTTGTGGGGTGTTATTTCATGTGAAAAATCTATTATGTTAGTGTGCTTTGTTGAGCAAGTTGTTATAGGGGTGTATTATGAAACTAACTTACATATACAATCTATACTAGCTATTACCTAGTTCTAGTTGTAATAAAATTTCTAAAATAAAAGTAGCCCATATTACTCCTTATAAAATCAGCTATCTACGAGTGAAAGAATCGTTAATATCGGTCCAGCAGTTTCAGAGATTAACACGTATAGACAGACGGACAAATTTTTAAATTTATTTGAGTACCGTATATACTTTTATACGCATTAGTAAAAGCTGTTAATTTCCATTTACACACATATAGACACTTCTATTTTATTTTTATAAATAATATATAATTCTATATAAAAATTATTTACTAATATTTTTTATTTAGAGCTTCATGACCTAGTTGTTTAATACCCTGCCTTAGACCACAAAATCGACAAAAAAAATAACTGTGTTTAAATATGCGATGGATGCACTATACTTGACTGGCTAAAAATGAGACATGTTCCTTAACTATGGAAAATATATGTATTGAGGTCAGCTTGAAGAGAAAAAAGTGCAGTGTATGTACAATGGCATTACAAAAACAATATAAAATGTATGAACAAAACGTTAAAATATCTAAAAGACAAATATTTCTAACATTCCGATATTTTTTTAATTATTAACCAGCGTTTGCGGGTAGAATTTAAAAATTAAAAGAATTTAAAAAAGCAGCTCGCTGAGTTTTTCCTAATAAACTTTTCCGTGATATTTTTTTTATAATAGACGACCGTTATCGCGGCCATTATAAATCAATGGAATTATTGTACATATACTAGTTGTAAGAATACTTCTTGATAGAACTTGATTGTATTAGTTATTAGTAGTTATTACGTAATATACTTTATAATCTGTTATTATTGTAATATATTTAGAAGTTCTCATAAACCGGTTTCGGAAGATTGTAGAGAAGTATATATATACGACGATATTATTCTTATAACAATTATATGTTGGTCACTAGCTACTTAGGTATATTTAACTAGCTGTATACTGTGACGCTGACCACGTTGGATACGTCAATGTTATTCACTATCGAAAAAGATGTACTATTTTTTTCATAACTTCAGTTATGCATTAAAACACACGATAAATAAAATATTTCCATTTTATAGTACTCGTAATTACTACTATAGACAATGAATACTGGAAGAATATTACATTGTGTAATAAAAAAATATATAAATCGAGTTGCATATATCTCTGGTGACGCCGTGGAATGTACTAGAATTTCTATAAATTTATTAAAAGAACAAAACATATTTCCACTCTACAATGACGTTCCATTTTCAAAATGAGGCATTTTATTTTTAAGTAATATTTAATGGCTATTTATTAATATATGAAAGGTGAAAAGTTCTGGTGGCTTGTTTCGTCAAAGTTCATAGCTAATATAGGATACCTAACTGTTCAGCTCAGGGAAAAAAATAAACTTGGATACGTCACACAGCCTTAAACTAAGTAGATCCTGCAATGAACAATTTGAAACATGACTACTAGGTGAATGTAGATAAGTACGTAGTAAGTAGACAAAGTAGTAATTGGTAGATAACTAAAAAACTACAAAAATTTCCGCCGAAATGGTCTATGACAGTATTTAGTATTATAGCGACATTATGTCAAAGTTTGGATAACTTCCAATAGTACATGGTTACATAAACCGTAAATAATAAGCGAGTTTGCGTCTTTGAGCGATGTAACAACGGATATAGGCCACAAAAATGGATTCGTCGAAGCACACATAGGTATAATAACAAGGTGATTTAGTATAGGTACCACTGGTTAGTCATCCTATGTGCACATACTATGGAAAATATTAAAATAACAGTCATTATATAGTCCTTTGTAAGCATCGGAAGGTTTCCTATTACGGTTACGTTAATAGATAATAAAAATATATAGATAGATAGTTAGATAATGAAAAGTTAAATTTGTTGTAAAAGAAAATAAAATCTTATTTTTAAATTTAGTTTAGTACATATTATTAATACAGTTAAACGGGTTTTAACACGAATAACTTTTATGGTAAATAAAGGTAGAGTCAGTCAGCTCTTGACCACGGTTAATGCAACCTAGTCGAAACGTCGAGAGAGGCAAATACCTTTATTTACCATAAAAATTATTCGTGTTTAAAACTCGTTTAAATATGTTAATAAAATTGAAATCTTAACAATTTTTTTTAATATAAAGTGTTTTTGTAGAAAATGTTAAATCGAACCTTTTTACAGTAAGGTTGTGACGTTATATTATTTTTGTTAAATACGCGTGCAAAGTCGGGCTGGGTCTTATATGATTTCTTTTAGCTTTCATGCTGACCTTAGATAGATTAACAAACAAGCTAAAGTCTCAGTCATACATTAGTCATAGAATACTCAGTCAGTAATACAAATCGACACACAAATTTTTAGATGCCGGTCAGATTCTCCAGCTCACGACCTATTGTTTGCAAATCGGGGTGTTATACCGTTGACCACGACTCCTATTGTTTTTTTAACATAATACTATTATATAATAGACTAGAATATGCGTATTATGTACAATTTTGATACGGTTTTATATAATAAGTACATAAGTTATTTAAAGTGGACGCGGAAGACTCGCAATTAGAATCAGGTATGGTGCTATAGATACTTATGTACATATTTCGCTATTATAATAGTGTTTCAAAGATATTAACATGCCTTTCTGTGTCTAAAAGTTATTTAATATTATTGTTCTGTTGAGAGACGTGTTTATATTCAAAGTAACAATATAATGGATGTCCGTGCATGTTCGACATGTCCCGTGCGTGTCAATGCTTACGAATATTATAATTGCGATAGTAAATCATCTGTTTGTCGCACTTTCAAGCTAAAACTAATGAACCCATTGAAATTAAATTTGGTACACAGTAAGTCTGAGAAAGAACATAGGCATATTTTACGCGAAAACAGTTTTCTAAGAGGTTGAGAGAGGAGATGAAACTTTGTTTGGACGTAGCGTAATTTATAAAGCTGGAAGCTTGTAATTTTTTAGACTGTTGTTAACTATAAATAAATATGACATTCAAAGTTTGTTGTTGTCATGTTTATTTATATTTAACAACTTATTTGTTTCACATGTTACCCTTAAGGAGACAATATAAAATAGGGGATGAAACTTTTAAAAAAAAATTGACTAATAATTAAAAATGCTATCCAATGTAACTATTCAACGTAGACGAAGTCGCGTGCACAACTAGTTGTATATATGAATGAAAACGTTATTTTCTTTTGAGATGGCACCATAAGTAGTTAGTAAAAACGTGTTCAGATTGACAGCGTGTTGTCGTGGAACGTTTTTTATGAGAATGGAATGCCATACAAGCGTCTGACCTAACTAGTCTATAAACGTGAACAATAGTAGAAAATAATTATCGTTTATAGTCTATTCTATATTTTTTTATTCCATAATGTTGACTTACTTACAAAACATTGGTCTCGATATTTCCCGCATAAGTACCAATATATTGTGTATGTATTAAAAAAATATTAATTATTTCCATATTTCTATGAATGATAACAGTGTATGAATGTACCTGGGTCTTGTTTTGTCCAGCAAAAAATAAAAAGTTACGTAAATACATTAATTTGAGAATATCGTCGTGAACAAACCTGAAAGTTATTGCCAAAATATGTCTACAATAATCCATATAAAATTTCGACGCTTTGTCGTTTTTGAAATTTATTAAAATGTTCCGACGAAGATAAGTTATGTATAGACAAACTTACGGAGACAGTTTATACCTCAATTTTTGAAGTTGGTTAAAATACCAGATCATTAGGAATAAAATGTAATAAGTAAATTCATCGTGCATTAAGTTGAATGAACTAGTTAATTATGCAATTTTTTAGTGTACTAAATCGTCTAGTCTGTACACTGTCCAGTCATTGCCATTATAATTTAGTATAATCATGATAATAGCAATAAGCTAACTGTTTCGCGGGCATACTCTATTATTTTGGCTGCTTTATAATAGTCTATGGTAAAGAGATTTCTTTTTAATAGACGACTATAAAGATATTGTTTGGAAGATTTGTTGTAATCGTAACATTCCTGTAGTAGAAATTTACTTATTAACCTGTGTGTGTGTACCATTTTTATGCAATAGCTGTTTTTAATTATGACAATTGATGGCCTCGGTGATCTAGCGGTTTACCACACTGCTTTACTTCCGACGGTCGCGGGTACGATTTCTTGCACGCTACAATCATTTGTATTCATTAGCATCAAAATAAATCACTTGGAGTTATTCAAAGAGTAGGTTTATGACTCAAATTTGATTGCCTGTTTTCTTAGAGATACTGCGAGAGGAAATATTGAAATGATATGTAATATTATTGTCTACTAGCTTTTATTACCTGCGACTTCATCCGCAAGGAAATACAATGAATATTTTTTTTAAATAAAAGTAGCCTAAGATACTGCATATAATATTAGCTCTCTATGAGTGAAAAATCGGTCAAAGTTCCAGCCATAATTTTCAATTATTAATCAAAATACATTTTTTATATATATTCTTTTTTTATTTCCAATGTGTGTGTGACATAAAAACAGTGATACAATAAATGTAAAGTACAAATTTTATAAACTATTAGGAAAAAATATTTTTTTAGAGAAAAGAACGCCCTTCTTATCTCTAAAAAAATATTTCTTCCTAATAGTTTATAAAATTGTTCTAAATAAAAACAAAATGTGACGTTATGGGACCCACAAATGTGACTAACTGTGACAAGGACGAGGAAGGGGAATCGAAGGGTCAAAATTGACGAAATTAGTATGATGTATTTATGGTCTTAGTTATATTATTAAAATTTTTCACTTACCAGGTATTTCGTGTACTCTGTTGGTACTCAACGCATGGTTGGCAAATAGGTAGGCGGTCTTCGAGCCGAATAGCAGGTACGGATTCTCGTCCACAGACAAGCAAGACTCCTGACCAGCGACGGCAGTGGCTAGAACCGCCGCGATGAACAACCGCATCTTCAAGCGTAAATTTTTACATGTCTTTTTATCTATGTGAGGGTGAGTGGTATACAAGCATACGTCCTGCCGCAATTGTAAGCGGCAATCATACATAAAAGTACTTGTAGTGTGTTAGGAATCAATCCCACGTTGCCGCTCTCTGATACCATGCAGAATCATTATAACCAGTAATGTCATTGCCATTCTCAATCATTCAATTAGAAAAGTCATCCAAGTAGGCCGGTTGATATTGATAATGGAATTAAAATAAAAATGTAGTAGAATTAAAACGTATAGCTTGGGTCCTTAGTCATATTAGAAATAAAAAAAAATAACTGATGTCTTGCCACTAGTTTCCCGAAATTTTCCTATTATTGGTAAATAATGTATTCTGGCAGGCTATGTCACGGTCTTTAATAGTACTAGTATGCAATAGTTCTCCCTATAGATAGGTTTTATAAGTAATATCTATGACATAGGATTGAAATTATTAAGGTAAATAAAACAGTACCTAACAATCGCAATAATTTTGCGGCATAAAAATTCCCACAGAAAAATATTACTAGTATTAAAGTAAGTATAGTAGGAATATATCTATATATAGGTACCTACTCGTAATTTATATTCACTTATATAGTCAGTTAGTCATAATGGAGCACGTACATAAGTTACTAATACTTATAAAACGCCATAGGTACCTACTTATGGCGTTACCTATAGCAGTGCTCCATTACGTTTACAAATATTCCCATAGCCTAAAAAAGTTGTTCAGCTAAGTTCACATAACATTTGCTTTGCAGAATGCTTTTATTTTAGTTTTCTTCATTTTAGCCATATTTGAATATAATATACCATTTAAGAATTATTTAAAATAATTATTTAACAAGTTTAGACAAAAATACGACTTTTTGATCAAGTTACAAAATCAAAGCAAACAATATCAACAATAGCGACGCATCGGCACAACACATTGAAAGAACGAAATCTTTCTAAAACATAATGTACAGTTTGAAAAACCGTGTCACGTTTCTTTGAATACAAACGGAACGTCATAAATGCATATTTGAAACGAATATTACCTTTTCGCGGGAAATATTCGGGATAATATCCGGCTTGTCTATGGTAAAAGGCGCGGGCAACGCGGCGTCTCTCGCACACGATGGCGGAGGTACTGAATTGAGTGAGATTGGTTCTTGTTTGATGTTTTACCAGGTTGTATAGCGGTGTGGTGCTTGTTGGCATGTCATCCGCTAGCTTCATGCAGTACCTAGTATTATAGTTGTTTTTCTAGTAATTTTTCTAACACCTGACTAAAGAGGAGTGATTAAAAATATAATAAACACGACACAAGACTCATATAAAATAATTATAGCTATAATACAGTTACAACAGTTTGGAAATTATGCTAATTGTCAATACTCAATATCCATATCAATCACTAATTTAACTACATATTTGCACAGTTGGTAATATGCATGCCATTATACTTACATGTAAGCAATATAACCTACATAATATACTAAATTAATGAATTATTATACATTCCTCAGAATGTTATTGTTAGCTAAGTAATGTTATTGTAAGCTTCTAAGATATCTAATGTTTTCTTCCCATACTTGATATTTTTACTCCATTTTAAAACAGTAGGCATTTAATACAAAAAAATTAAATGTTAAAAAAAACATAACATATACTATATAATAATTATCTGTGATAATACTTAATTATAAGGTACCTTTTTACGTAATTGAAAATTTTATGTAAAGAATATGTTAAAAATAGCTTTTTCTTTAAAATATTACACACATTTTTCTAATATTCTAAAAACGAAGAAATGTATGAGGTAATTCATTTAATAGTAATGACGAACTTTTAATGAGTAACTACGTAAACTGTGAACTACAGTTCAAATGCCAATTTACGTGTTACAATTTTGATGGAGGCCCCAATAAAATCAGATTTTTTAAATATGCTACATTATTTTAGTCCTGTAGGTGAATCAGTTACTAGACGGGTTACAAAGGTTTATTTTAGAACCTTCAAATTACGATTCACGTTCAAGAATTAGAGAGAAAAATACATTATGAAACTATTTTTTAATTAGGTAGGTATATATTATAATATATATCTGATCCAAAAACGTTTAAATTATAATTTATTAGTAAGTAAGGTCTCGTTAGTATTCTTTACAAATATATATTTCTAAACGTACATAGCTATACATTTGGATATAACAAACTCTGCTTTGGTTTAGAACTTGATGACGCTGTGTCAATTTGTATCATGGACTACTTTTTTTTTGTTTTAATTGTAAAAGGCAAAAAGTTATATATACCTGAGCAGTACTACTAGCATCATGTTATCATGTGATTATCTTATTGGGTAATTCCATTGCCTGTTCTCACTACAAACGAAATTCATCTTAAAAGCAATTTTGGCGGCGTAAATAGGTGATACTGAGATACCCACGCACCACGACTTTTTACAAAGTCTACTTTAGTAAAACTTGTGACTATTATTAGGAAGTTCATGTTGTTTGTGGTTGGTCTTTAAACAGATACAGGCAAGAAAATGACGTAAACCGTTCTACGACACCGACGCTCTATATTCCATGGGCTTGCTGCTATTATTTGCTTATGATGTGAAAATAATTCGTATTCGTTTCCTTTGAACTGTTTTTACGTAACTTTGGTATGTTGGTGTCTAATTTTAAATAGATAATTAACATTGATGTTTTGATTTAAGAAAGTAACTACTGGTCTACTCCTACTCCCTATGGAGTGTTCATAACACTGTGAGCTTTGTATATACCAACATACATATATGTGCCTGTAATTCTGGGATAATGTATATTTCAAAGTGTGAAAAAGTCTAGAATTTTCAGAGTGAATCAATATAATAAACATACTCAGAAAATACTAGAATAAAAAATGTAATAATAAACAAAAAAATCTTTTTCTTAATAATGTTTGTATAGATTTGATACGTTTTTTTCTATAAACTAAACAGAGTAATTTCCTGAATAGGACTTAAGTACTCTTTATTAAAATAAACTTAATTATATAACCCTTTTACCAACTACATTACAATTTTTAAATAATAATAATAATAAAATAATATAAAAAATATATATATTACAATTTTTTGCTAGTTAAAGATGACATTTTTAATAGTAACTGGAGTTTTGCAAAACAGTGTTTTTAATCGTCAAGAGCTTAAATTAACTTTTATATTCGAATTCAAAACAAATTTGAATTACAAATTAACCATAACTAATATTAATGTATTTTTTTCTACCATATATGTATAGGCAAAGGAACAATTCTTTAAAAGATTACCTTTTACATGCGGGCATCACCGCACTGGGCTACGGTAACGCTCATAATAATTTCTATGGGCGTTATCAAGGTGCATTAAACCAACATCGGTCAGTGCACCATACCACGTGGAGAACGGTTTATGGTCGCCATGCGTTTGACGAATACTGGCCTTATGGGACGCATGGTACCTACGTGACCTAATTCTTAAGGGCAGAGTATGGAATCTACAATATTTTTATTACCTCGCTTAATATTTTTAGGATTTAATTGAAAATCAGCTAGTTATTCCAGAGGTATGTCAATATTTCGAGTCCTCCCGCCTAATAGTCTTAAATTCGTCTTATTTATATTATTAATATATTGATGCTACTGGTTTTCTATATAGTAAGTATTATTTACATATTTTCAATAAATGTGTTCAAATATTAAAAGTTCTACTACCTATATGTTTTATGACGATTACTTGAAAGTTATGATGACAAGAAAAAGAAAAATTCACTTTCATAATATTGCTAACAATTCTGTGCGATTTCAGTAAAAATTTCGTGTACCTGACAGTATCGTAACGGCATTTGTCAATTGAGTCATTTATTCAATTTAACACATACCTTTGCGTTTAGCACTTCAAACACGCATGCTTTTTATTAATTAACAGTGACATACAATTAACGTCTTTAGTACTTTAGCATTAAAAGTGAGACCAACAGCATAAGTGGTTGTCTCGTTTTATGCAGCAGTCTGACTAGTAGGTACGGTGTTTCTATTTGCTCTGTCGACCTCAATTTTGATGTGCACTGACCCGTCAATAGCTAGCCACAAATGTAATTAGGATTTGTAGCTATTGATCTGTGCTAGCAATTTATAAAGAAAAAAAGAACAGGAAATGAATTGGAAAGCTATAAATGGATTTAAATTGTGGCAGCCTCTTTTACTCTTTATTATTATACACCGACCCGGCTTCGCACGGAATATAAAAATTTTAATTTCTCGGCTTGATCTATACTATAACAAGTATGTGTATATGTATAGGTATAGATACAAACCGTCTTCTTGAATCGCTCTATCTATTGCTGAAAACTGCATTAAATTCCGTTGCGTAGATTTTTTTAGTACGATAAAAAAAATATTTTTATTGTCATGAGTCCAAACTAGGTCAGACCTGTATCTTGGAGGATGGGAGCGCGGACCTATAAAGAAAAATATGCAGTATGTGTCCACTACTAACTTTTTATGCAAGATTATAAGAAGGTTTAAAAGGTATAAGCGAACAGACAACGGCGGCGACTTTATTTTATACTACGTAAAGATTAGCGCGTGCTTGCAAATTCTTGTGGTTTTATTTGACGCAAAAAATAATCTATATGTATTGATAAACAATTTTTTTTTGGAAATAATTTTTGTCGATATACATGTGTTTTTCTGATTTCAGTTTGTTGTGAACGTGCGATATGCGGATAGAATTGACTGTAGTAATGTGTACATGCTGACTTGACAGGAAACGCCGCATACCTACTTACTCTAGAGGCTAATTGCGGAGACTGGAGTCCAACATACAATACAATACCTACTTACTTTTGTAAATAGTGCCACTACTGATCTCCCAAAAAAGCGTTATCGCAAGCTTAAGAAAGATTTTTTTTGCATTCGCGAAAACTCCATAAAATCCAATCACAGGTATTTACGTGTTTTGAGAATGTATCATTTTATAATATTATCCTACTGCTTGGATCATGAAGATATCTACGAAGTGTGATGATAACTACGAGACTATTCCGTAGTAATATAGTAGTGAAAACTCCAAATCCGTTCATTTTCGTGATACTCGTTTAAAACATACAGACAGACATAATAATTCCAAATAACAGTTCTATGAGATAGAGATTTGAGTTATTACTCGGTGTTTTATACCTATAGCACTGCGACCTCCATAGATCTATTGCGCTCGCCCTTTAAAATAGATGATAGCCTAACGACCCACGACAGAAATTATTGAAAAACAGACTATATGTTGAATTATTTCGAAAGTCAATTATATAGTGCCTTCACGAGTATTATCTCAGATATATAGGTAATTATATTATAGTCAGAGGCATCGTCAAGTGTCGACCTCATGGTGAACGCAATACATGACATACCAATATTTCCTTTGATACATTTGAATCCAATGCAGCAGGGGGAGTCTGTGAATAGTCTTTTAAAAATTTACAACACGATAAAACAATTAAGCTATATATACATGTACTACCTGTGCCCGCGGTTACACTCGCATAATTTATAGTCTATATGTTATTCTGATGTATAAGCTATATTACTGTAACGTTTTATCAAAATCCGTTTCGCAGTTTTTGCGTGAAAGACTAACAAACATCCATCCATACTCACAAATTTTGCGGATAATTTCAAGGAATAATTTAGTAAGTAAAAAAATTATACTTTTATAACTATAAACTAACTACCCTAGTTAGTATTACAGTTTTAAAAGTATGTTCAATTTTTCATAAGTCATGAGCATTCTCAACTGACGAGGATATTTACATTTAAAAAAAAGATATAATACATTTTCTATTTAATCAGACATAAATAACTAAAACGTTTATTAAAGTGCGTTTTTAAAAATAAATACAATATGTATAGTCGTATTTTTAATTAGACGAAGCTAGCTGACAGTAGCTAATGTCACTTTGTAAAATAATGTTGCCATATTTAAAGTAATAGTCATGCGTTCAGTTCTCAGTTAGATGAATGAACAATGAGTGTGAATAGTTAATCATTTCAAACTACAAAAGAATATTATATATATATAAAAGTGCTCTGATATAAGTTACTAGTAACTACAATCAGTTTTTTGACGGCTTATTACAAAGCGCGCGGCTACTAATGCCAACACAAATCAACGTCGCGAGCGTCGGTCGCCATTTTGTTCGTAATTCGGCTTCTAACCTCTGGTCTGAGAGCACCAATGTTTTTTTTGCGCTCACGCTGTTTTGTTAAGTTTTCCTCATGTTGTGTTTGTGGTAATTGTTGGGTATATTGTATATTTACTATATTGTTTCATACAAACAATATGGATCCTCAACCAAGCACGTCAAGCCAAAGCTTGTCTCCAAGAAAGACGTTACCGAAAAACTTATGATATATACAAATACGTATTTGAGGAGAAAGCTGGTTCACTATTACCTATTGAGGCTCCCAAAAAAAACAAATGTATTTCGAAAATAGCTGACATTTTGGGAATTGGTGTGACCTCAGTCTACAATGTATTAAAATAATACAAAGTGAAAAATTTAAGTCTCCGGAGAAACGTGGACCGAAACACTGTTTCAAAGATAAATTATTATCAATTTTTAGACAGATTTATAATTAATGTCACTGAAAGCGACAATGATTTTTTTATCTGATGATGAATAAAAACAAATTTTGTAATAAGCGCAGTTTTTTATTTTTATTACCTAACTATATTATGTTATATATTGTTATATTTTATACATCTATAGTTTCAATTACATGATGAATTATAAATAGGACAGTCTTAAAAGTTTCCACGCAATTTTTTCTTTACGTTTAAAATACTCGGTATTCAGTATAGGTAGATACAATAGGAACATAATCATCGTAAACTCGTTGGTATGTATAAAGCACGGCTAAAATTCAAACCCCGTACCCGATATCGGCAGTTCGGCACACTAACTATTCACTAGACAATCGAGGCAATTCCATTAATTCAGGAGTTTTTTCAATTATTCACTTTGTCACAACACTATTTTTATTTCATCAAATACTGACAACACAGTAAACGTCAGTTGACTTCGTCTAATTAAAAATACGACTATAAGTACGAGTACGAAGAATATTAATACTTTAATATTAATTTACTTAATTTTTATTAAAAAGCTACAGTTATTATAATCCGAAAAAATTACGTAAGCAATAACTACTTTCAACTGGCAACTTTCATGTCACTTTCGAATTGTTCCCGCGAAAAATTTTTGTCTGTGGGAAGGTGGATATCATGAATTTTATTTTTTAAATTGATTGACAATTTAACTCTGTAATAATAATCCTTACTAAAAATGTTCATTAAATCATAAAAAATAAAATAATTCATGAAAATGTTATATGTTAAAAAGCAATTGTTGCTAAAACATAATTATATTATTACTTTATTTAATACAGAATAGTTACTCTATGGTGTAACTAAACGCAAGTTGACGCAAAATTGAAAATAGTAAAAGAAAAAAGTTGTCTATGGGTTAGTCCACTAATGGCGTATCTTCCTTCAACACACGTTAAAACGTCAAAATGGCTAAGAAAAAAGGCGACGAGAAAGTGAATCAAACCCCTCAAAGTGACAATGAAGAGCAGAACTTTGATGAGGAGCCCGATTTCGATGATCCGGAAGGGTTTGTTGACGACATTACTGACGAGGGTAAGTCATTTTTTTAATTTTTAGGTTGGACCGGCCATATGCGTCACCCACTCATTTTATGATTTTTCAATGTTATTTGTACTATTTTTAACAATTTCACTATAAATAGTTCTCTTTAAATGTACTTATTCTTGGTAGATTACTTTGTTATTACATTATTTGTATATAGATAGGACTTTTAAACATAACCTAACTTTGACGTTGCAGAATTGTTGGCCGACATCCTAGAACAGAAACCGAAAGAATCTGACGGTTACGAAAACGTAGTCATAGTGGACGGGTGTCCGCAGGTGGGCCCTGAACGTCTAGAGAAGCTACAAAGCGTTATAAATAAGATCTTTAGCAGATCCGGAAAGATTGTCAACGAGTATTACCCAACTACTGACAACGGTGTCACTACGGGTTACATTTTTTTGGAATACAACAATCCCCAAAACGCAGCGGAGGCCGTGAAAGCAACCAATAATTTCAAATTAGATAAGCAGCACACATTTTTGGTTAACCTTTTTACAGACTTTAAAAAGTAAGTACTTTACTGATTCTGTGCCTCGTGACTTCATCCGAATTTTGGAGTCTGTCATCAAAATACAATTTATTAACATGTTAAGCTTCATTATCATTGGTTCAGTGGATTAGACTTATGTGAATTCAAATGGTATACAAGCTAGCAATCCACCAGATGGTAAATGGTACTCATCACCTATTCAAGTATAATTACTGTAGACATATTGCATATCCATTTCTGGGTACTAAGTAATCCTGTAATTACATTAACTTAACCTCAACTTACCAACTTAACCACACAACACAGCGAAAACACAGCAGGATACCCCACATATAACTTTTTTAAGTCTGCCTCTGTAAAGTAGTAATGTAAAGCTAACAAACATAGACTACACTTTTGCATTTATATTGGTATATGAATTCATTGAATAGTTCTATTTACTATCAAATCATGCTCGAAGTTCAGATTGAAACATAATCTCTAAGAACATTTATCTATAATGCAATAAATTATAATAGGGAATATTATTATTGTAGATAAAGTTCTTGTGGTAATCTTATTAATCTTTACAAGCTGATCTAAACACATTACTTTAGCACTTAAAGAGTTTATGCTCAAATTTCAATATTAGTACTTACTACTATTGAACCTACCTACTACCTATTTCCCTTCTCTCACCTAATTCCCCATTACTGTTTAAAAAATATTTCTAAGTGTCTGAATATCTACAAAAATATTTGTGCAGTTTAATGATTGATATATTGTGTTCAAATTATTTCTTCATACTTCATAAGCCCATTCATTGACTTGAAGTGCCTCTTCTGCCACCAAAATTTCATGTTATAGCTTATAAGGGACAGTGGGAACTAACAGTGTTTAATAAGTAAAATAAAATCTTATTGTATTAATCTTTATATACAATTAACTTCATTTCAGATATTCAGAAATCCCAAAAGAATGGGACCCACCTTCGCCTCAGCCGTTCAAGGTCCAATCAGACCTTCAATGGTACCTGATGGACCCAGACTGCTATGACCAATTCCTAGTTGGTATTGGAACTGGTGTGGCACTACAGGTGTGGCAAAATGCTTTGCCTGAACCTGGCTTACTGCAAGAACGGCCGGTATGTACTAGTCTCTATAAAATTATAAACTAGCTACCCTACCTGGTACATGTATTATACATATAAACCTTTGTCTCGAATCACACTATCTATTGCTAAAAACCATATTAAAATCTGTTGCATAGTTTGAAATGTCTAATCTAACAAACAGCTGAACAAACTTGATTTTATACAATGCTTGTTACTCTATAAGTTATTGTCATTTATAGTAATTGTATCATATTAATATTTAACATGTTTATTACTATAATCATTATAATGACTTCACAATAATAGCACCATAATTGTGAAACAATCTTCTTTCACTAATTAATTAATTCTTACACAACTGATTGTTTAATTTATTCTTTCACAAACATGAAAAATAATTTGAAAATAAATCAGAAAAAAAGTAAATCGAAAACCTTTAATTGGCCTTCTTTTTAAGCATGTATTATTATTTGTATTTCGCTGTTGGTTTTCAAAATAAATAAAAAAAATCTAAACAGTGGACTTAAGTGTAACATATTATTAGTACATAATTTATGTCTATGTTTTAACTAGGATTTACTTGCTTTGTTTTATAGAATTGGACAGAAACTTATGCAGTGTGGTCGCCACTTGGCACATACCTAGCTACATTCCATTGGAGGGGTGTTGCCCTTTGGGCTGGACCCAAGTTCTCGCAGTTCCAGAAATTCTCACACCCAGAAGCTAGGTTTATCTCATTCTCTCCATGTGAGAATTATATTGTGACATTCTCACCTAGCAGTGATAGAGGCAATGATGACAAGAAACTGATTATCTGGGATATTAGGTAACATCTATTACATAATATTAACTAGAATGTGTGTGAATTTTTAAATGGTTGAGAGTACTTAATGCCTCTTTAAGCCTCTGTAGCAGGAATAAGAATGAAACTGCTTGAACTGGAAAATTATACACCATTTCAGAATACCTTTAAATAAAAGTGTTTAAGTTAGTTTAAGTGAATTCAGATTCAGTCAATTCAGAATACATGTTTCACATTTTGCACATTTCTCCTTAAACACCAGCTGTCGGATATGCACATTGCGGGCCCTTAAGGAACCTTAATATATTCTCCTTGAAAAACCCCATCATGTAGTCCCTCCACTGGTGTTGCGGGTAATCACTTACCATCAAGTGTGCTGCAAGCTGTTTCCCCCTACACAAAAAGAATGGCAAACAATCATTTAAGCAACAGTTATTAAGTATATGTCAACATTACTTCCTCATTTCACACTTGGCGTCTCCTTCATATATTGTTGTTCAAAAGAATCAAGCTTGACAACTTGCTTCTCCGGAACCATATCTTTATACAATATGCATAGTGTTGTACTATAGTAAAATAATTATTTATTATTAAACATTTTAATTATGTCTACAGGACAGGCCAAGAGAAAAGGAGTTTCCCTCCTCCAGATGAATATGTAACATGGCCAATTTTCCGATGGAGCAAGGATGATAGATTCTTTGCGAGATTAGGTCCCGATATGCTGTCAGTATATGAAACACCTGGTTTTGGATTACTTGACAAGAAGTCTATTAAAATACCAGGAATAAGGTTAGTACTACTACTAACCAGCTGTATTCATAATCTCAATGTAATCACATTTGATTAGTATTTTATTTTTACATCATAATAAAGCAATATCTTTTAAAAAAAAATATGTTCCTCTTTAGTGCATAAAAAATAAACATTTATTATGTTTATTTTCCAACATACAACTTGATATTTTTTTCCTATTATAATAGTTCCATGTTACATATTTTGTTTAATCAATTCCTATTAATTGAATTGAAGTAGAACATAGATAGCTCGTTCTGGAGTAAGGATTACTTTTAGGTTTATACTATTAAGTTTATTATTATATTATTTTTATTTACATCTTAATAATATTTTGCAGAGATTTTAGCTGGTCACCCACAGATAATGTATTAGCTTATTGGGTAGCTGAAGATAAAGACGTGCCTGCCCGTGTAACTCTTCTAGAAATACCAAACCGCACCGAAACGCGCTCCAAGAATTTGTTCTCTGTCGCCGACTGTAAAATTCACTGGCAGAAGAGTGGTGATTACCTCTGTGTGAAGGTAGACCGCTACTCGAAGGTGAAGAAAGACAAAAATGAGATTAAGTATTCCGGAATGTACTACAACTTTGAGATATTCCACATGAGAGAGAAGGAGATCCCTGTAGACTCAGTGGAGATCAAGGAGCCTATTCAAGCATTTGCTTGGGAGCCAGTTGGGTCCAAATTCTCTATAATTCATGGAGATCCAGCCAATATCTGTATCAGCTTTTACCAAGTGAATACTGGACAGGCCCCCACATTGCTCAAGAAGTTTGAGAGGAAGCCATTTAATCATTTGTTCTGGTCGCCTATGGGACAGTTCATGGTGTTAGCCAATCTGGGACTGACTGGTGGTGCCTTAGAATTCTTGGATACCAATGATTTTACTATTATGAATGTTTCTCATCATTATCAGGTTAGTACTACTCAATATTGTAATGATAAAACTTTACCTTTTATTTAGTGATGGAATAGAATATGCAAAGAATTTGGAAGAATTGAAATTAAACCCACATTTCCTTGTACATCTTGGATGTACAAGACAATCATTTTCAGATGTACTGAGTTACTGATGTACTGATATTATATATTCTCCTTTCAGCAAATTTGATCTTTTGTATTAATGTTTCTTTTGTTTATGACGAAATGCTGCCATAGACTTTGTACAGAGTTGTCTATGTGGTTACCTGTCTAAGCTATTTCGTCGCTAAGTGAAGGGGGCTTGGATTAGCTTGTAATTTGTTTTAGTTGAAGAATGAGATATAGAAGTGAAATTATACAGTATATATGATGACTTACTGCTATAGGACTAATGCAGGCATCACATCATCAGATGTGTTTGTGTCCATGCTATTCATGTGTCTATTTCTATGATGTATGTTTTAGTTAGTAAAATCAGATGAGCCGTCAGCTTCTTTGCCTTTCGAATTACATATGAAAGAAATAAAAAATAAGCAAGGTGCCATCGATTTGATCATAATAATCTCTTTTCAGATGTCTGGTATAGAATGGGATCCGACTGGCAGATATGTTGCGACTGGCGTGTCCTCACTCAAGTGCAAAATGGATTGTGGCTATTACATTTGGTCTTTCCAGGGGAAAATACTTCGCAGGTAAGTTCACCATTGAAACTTATTGCAGTAATATCAATATTATTAAATAGAATATTTTTTGCTATAAGGCAAGTATATAAATTGTGGTGCACTGATTTGATAAATATGTTTACTGTTTGAAATGATACATTCATACCAACTGACATATATGGGTGGGTGGGACTTGAAGAAAAGTATATAAAAATATTAATTTTTGTATTACACACAATTTTAGTCTACATCTACCTATGTCTTCTGCGTGTTAATTTTTTTTATGAATTCTGCAATATAAATGAAACCTCTTGGAGTAATATTATGTACAAAAATAATGGATGAATAAGAAGAATATGAGGGAAGTTCTAAATTGGATAAAGTTTCGTATAGCACCCCTTCTCTAATCTAACTAAATCCCAGCAATAGCAATAAGCGCAGGAAGGAATTCGCATTTTGTAGTCATTTAACAGCCAATGCTTTATTTATGTCCACCACACACAAAAGTCTGTCTTCTGCTGCCTTTATGACAAGTGTGCAATCTGTTTGTTTCCACAGAGTAATGAAGGAAGGCTTCGCACAGTTCCATTGGCGGCCTCGCCCGCCCACTCTCCTTACTGAGAAACTACAGAAGGATATCAAGAAGAACCTCAAGAAATATTACTCGCAATTTGAGTCTAAGGACCGTATGCGCAGCAGCAAAGCCAGCAAGGTATGACCAACACAATCTTCTTCTTTTATGAGGAAATGAATAATCCTACCATATAATTCAGTTCAACTAGCTTCTTCAGTTGAGAATAACTGGCAAGTAACTGAACTGATATATTTTATGTTATTTTCTTTTAGTCAGTCTTGATCTTTATATGTAATCTAGATATTGCATATTGTTTAAGTAGTGCTTATTTCTTATATATTTAAAAGAAAAAATCCCTTTTCTGAACAACTAATGCTAACACGACAATATGTTATAATGTGTAATATGTATTTCCAAAGAGTGGAATGACTTTTGAATTGAATTTTGTTTTTGTGTTTATGGAAAAATACAAATCTGGACTGTTCAAGTCAATGGTGAATAGGTAGGTCTAGATAATCGCGGTATATTCTCGCCATCTTTTTCCATCAAATGCGTTAGGACCAAGCATCAAACCATAATAAAAAAATGCATTAATTATTTTAATTTTCTTTAGGAATTGGTGGCGAAACGTACGGAGCAAATGAAGAAGCATGTCGAGTACAGGGAAGCTAAAACGCAGGAGTGGAACGGGCAGAAACCACGTCGCCTTGAACTGAGGAATTGTAAGTTTTGTTTATGTATTTTGAATGGCAAACAGTCACACTGCCTTCCTGATGGTAAACTTTAATCGTCGCATGCATTACATGAACAGAACAACGGATATCATGTTATCATAAGACTTCCATGATACGTGATACTCATGGGTTGACATTCCAGAGGCCTAAGATATGCCTTTTGTACTGTAATTTCACTGTCTAATCTGTACCTACAACTGAAACAGCTTACAAAGCAGGTTGCTTGGCGACTAAAATAGGTACCCACGCAAAATTAAGCCCGATTGTTATGTTTATGTTCTTGTACGACCGACAATAGCGATTTTTCTGTTTTTTTATGCAATAATATTACTACTTAAAATTCTAATAAATCTAATTAGACGACACTTTCGAATATATAATTTTTACTATGTTTAAGATAATTAATAAGCTTATAATTTTTACGCAGACGTGGATACGGACGGTCTGGATACAGACCAGTCGAACACAGTGGAGGAAGTTGTTGAATTTTTCGTGAAAGAGGAACAAACCGTCATCGAGTAGTCGCCATTGCTCTCACACGTCAGGGGTCGGTGTTAATACTCCGGCCTCTTTTGAAAACTGGTTAGAACCGGTGGCAAGCAGTTTTGCAGAGAACATCAACGTTTTGTACCAAATCATCAATATAATTTCAATTTCTTGTAAATTCACCTTTATATTTAGTCACAAATACGATTTTATAAGCAGTAATCACATAATGTTCTTCAATTTAAGAGTTCGGTTTATGCATTATACAATAGGTAATGTTTATAGAAATCATATTAAATTTATATGTTTCAAACGTACAATGGCCTTTCAATACCTGATGGTATCGTTTTTTTGTTATCAATAAAGCATTTGTTAAATGATGGTATGAAATAAACAAATAATAAAACGATATAAAGGAGAATTTGAATTTTTCCAAAGTTCTAAATTTGGTAATAAAATACCTTCACGACTCTAATCCCACATGGGGTAGTCAGAGGTGTCGTAAGGTAAAGTAAAGAACCACTGAAAGATTTTGTCGTCTATAATCTGAGCATTGTTTAAGTACCGCTGTTACTAATAATTCTTTATAACCTATATTAAAGTCGATGGATTGCCTAAAAACTATTTCAGCGATAATTTGAGTGATAGTTCGCAATTGCAACTGTGAAATACACCATTAACGAGAATTATTTGTAACTGCGATATAATAATTAAGGTCCCCAACGAGAAACCTGAAGAAAATCTGAAGTCGCAATCACGAGGGTTAACATCTTTGAAAAATTTTTGGGTTCAAATTATATGTTTTTTTTTCATTAAAAGTTTTGTCTGTTCTTCAATACGTAATTCATTCAGATTATTACGACTACGGCTCGATACTAAATGGGTCTGTGCTGTAAGTATGAAATATTTGATTATCTGTTAGCATATTTAAAAAAAAACAATAATACAATATATACCTATTGTGATTGAGAATACAAATTTAATATGAACTGAATATTAGCTCTATGAAATACTTTCTTTTGTACACGTATTGGTCTCCTCACGGAATGAAGGCCCCTATAGTTCAGTTGTCTACTCTGCGTAATGGTTGATCCACACGGATCTCGATCTCATACCCTTTATCCGGACAGTGCGGGGGGTGGGATCACCCCTGTGTTCTATGCCTACATTTGGCGGAACCGGCTGCAGTTATCAAGTCGACTGAATGAAATCCTTGTTGATAATTATAAACGGTGGAAATTTAGTTATCGCCGGGTTTTGGCTCTGACGTGAATGACGTGACTCCGCGATGAAGAGTAAGTCGCGGCATTTTTCAGAAGTTCTTTAAAGTATTCAAACTGAAAGCCAATGCATTCATAAAACTAAACAAGATTTCCCTAATAAGCGAAGTGGAAAATAGAAAACATTTTTTAAAGTACGAGATGAATAGCCTCGGTAATCTAGCTGTTTAGCTCACTGCCTTACTTCCGATGGTCGCGGATTCGATTCCTCGCACGGTGTAAACATTTATATCCATGAGTATGATTGTATCGGTCTGTGTATTTTCTGTTTATATTACTTATGTATAAAAATAAATAATTTTTATGTCAGTTGTCTGGTAGTCATTACACAAGTTTTGCTTAGCTTGGGACTAGATGACTGAATCGCCCAGGGTTATTAGATGACGATGTAGTAAAATATTCAACATTTATTTTCATTTTTCACTTTGTGATGAAACTGGTTTATTTTAGTTTAAAATGTATTGTAACCATATATATATATATCTATTTGAGAAGGAATAAAATATATAAATATGTAGGAATCCTGAACGTATGCCATACGATTTAGGCGAACCTTGGTAGTAAGTATCTCCAATGATTTACGATGTATCTCATCTCGATCTGGGTTACTGTAATAAAGATTTACACTTTAGAACTTTATTATTGTTATTACATTATTCGCAAGCGTCTTTAATGTAAATATGTGCGATGTTAGATAGAGAATATGAGAGATGGTAATTTTAGTAACAGTGGTTATTGACCACGAGATATTATTATATTTCACTAGCAGTTACCCGCGTGCTGGTCTACGTCCAGATATTTTTTGGAGGTAATTTATATGCGGCGAGAGGTTTACCAGCGAAATTTCTTTCAAAATCTTCTAAAATAGCATGTCCTGTCTGGAAGTGTTCTATACTAGAAAGTGTATCTAAAGCTGCACTAGCAGGCTGCTACCAGTTTGTCTGGGCAGGGAGAGAAACACAAGCGATGAAGGTGAGTGTTGATGTACGTCGGTAAGGTCTGGGTGTATTCTTATGTATATTATGTATGTATTTTCATAAAAAAATCTAAGTATTCATATCAGTTGTCTAGTACCCATGACACAAGCTCTGCTTACCATAGGACTAGATGGCGCTGTGTTAATTGTCCTAGTTAATTTATTATTATTTATTGAATATTACATAACTTATCAATTCATTTGTGTGGACTCCCGCGAGTGTGGTTCGCTTAGTGCGCGGTCCAATGCACAACAGTTACGTTGTATTTATATTTCAATGTAGAAATAAATAAAAATAAATGTATTTTCATGTCAAAGTTCAGCAGTTTAGTCGTTAAAGGGTAAGAAACAGACGGATTTTCACATTTATATTGTTGGTACGTATTCATAAATAATTTTGTCGTGATATACATCTTAGGTTTTTAATTTTAATATTTTTTCCTTATTTTGAACATCGTCATTTATATTTTATATTTTGGGATAATCTTACAGTAATGAAATCTTTATGTAGGACATTTAGTTTCTTTCCTCATATTAGATATCTACTATTTAATAATAAATATATGCCTATGTTACTAAAGAATAATGTTGCATTCGAAAGGTGTTACAATTTTTGAAAGTAATAGTTTTTGAGATAATTCGTTACATATGTGTAAAAATACAAATGTGATGGTTATTATGGTGTAGATAAGGTAGATCCGCTCCGTCATGACCAATTTCTTCGTAGCTGTATCTTGGTTCCGGCCATCTATCATATCATTACTGGAATCATAAACAAACATAGATACCAGTATAAGTAATTTAGTTTATTAAACTAAGAAGGTTGGGACATAGTACACTTAGACACAACGTCGATAGTTAGATCTAAAAACCTTGGTTTGGAAGTTTATATTTCTGACAACCAAAACCAAAACCACATAAATTTATGTCCAAGCCATTCGCCTCTGGAACTCTACTACTCTCCATTCGATCAGCTCAAACACAAGCATCATTTAAAAATAGACTAAGATCTCATTATGTTTCTTCATAGTACATGTTTTTATTTGTTTTTTTCCCATTTCTTCCAATACGTAGTATATATGTTTGTAGTATAATATATAGTGTCTTATGTGTGCCACCTACACTATTCTATGTACATAAGTTCTCTCTTCTAGGTTGTCAGTAAGAGATTACTTTTAGCGATAAGACCGCCTTTTGTAATTATTTTACTATTTACTGTATTTTCTTATAATGTTATGTGTACACAATAAAGAGTTTTATTATTATTCTTATTTTTTCCTTTTTTTTCTCTTCTTTTATGGATTTAAAAGAAGGTAATACGGTATGGTGATGTCCACCAAAAACACCCTCGAAAGTGCCCGATCCATCACCACGATATCAGGTTTGTTCGCAAGAACGGTCCTGTCCGTGATGATGGACCTACACGGGCCTTAGCCAAGTGTGGGAGAGGTTGTGCTGGGTGAAGATATTGTTGAGGAGGTTAAGAATTTTCGGGTTATGCGACAGCGTTATTATTATTATTATTATTATATTTATATTTCTGGTAATGAAAACATTGACAACAAAATTCATCTGAAAATGATCTAGTCACGTTTGATTCAAACGAATATATCCAGCGATATGTGGGCAAGTCAATAACATCATAATTGACAATGACGCTATCTAGGAATAATTATGTAATCTGCTATTATTCTATAGATTAAAACAGTTTTTTTATATAATAGGAATAGCAAAGATGCTGCGGCTTACCTTCTTCCATCATACCAATTACCATCGTGGTTTATATAGGTACATGAACAACGATATTACGTTATTATGTGACGCTGGTGATACCACACATGAGTTGGTATGAATTTTGACATACTCCTTATCCTGTGATTTCTCTGCTTTAGTTCTTCATCCTACAATCGCAATTTTGGGTTATCAAACAGTTGCTTGACAACTGAAATAGGAAGATCGAGATACTCACACATACAACTTTTTAAAAAGTACTAATACTACCTCTGGGAAGGAACATTATGCATTTTCATGTCCGCATACAACTTTTTAAAAATTACTGATATACTACCTCTGTGAAATAACGTTATGCATTTTCAAGGGTTTGCTTATGGAACGAGATAATCTTGATGCAAGTATTCCCTAGGGTGTAGAAGGGCAAAAAAGGTTTCTCTAAATTCTGCGCACATGTGACAAGATTTAAATAGAGGTACGTAGACGTCCGTCGAAGTACTTACTAGGAAATAACATTTATAGTTATTATTTCCGATAGTCTATATGTTTATTGCAATAAAGTTATAATACCTACCCTACATTTCTTTATAAAATAACGGAGTACTATTGTATAGAATAGAAATACTTTTATTATATCATTGAAATTGTATTTCTTTTAATAGATGCCTGCACTTTACCGCTGCACTTTAAGCCAACAATATTTCCCCTGCATTGTCTTGTAAAAATCTGAAAAACCTGAAAGTCCGTAAGACAATTCGTTGAGGTGAAACATAGAGCGCATGAGCGTCGGATTTCGTCCATTCAAACGCGTCACTCTTCAGTTTGCCTGAAAGATTCATAAGGACGCACGCCCGAGGACGCAATCGCGTCGAATTCAAATTTCGATTTAATTAACCGTTACGTTTGGTCGCATTAGTTTGGTGTTAAAAAGTGTTGTAGCGTGGTTAGAGGTTGAATTAGTGCCCGATTATACTTCGAAGTCCGGTTTTGTTTACGTTTTTATTTTTGTTTTCAACGGTGGTTTATTTATCGGTAAGTTTGCACACTTTATTATGAATAGTTTGTAAGTAATACTAGTCTCATTTAAAACTTTATAATTGAGATCGGAATCAAATTTATTAATAGGGATAAAAGTAGTATGTAATGTATGTTTTTACCTACATACATAACAAATTTTATGACGATAGTTTTAGCCGAAAAGACAGCAGGAGGTAACAAACAAGAAAATAAACAATTAAAATAATATATTTAATTTAAAAAAAATACAAAATAAATTTTGTAAATGCTTATAAATTGCTATAGAAGTTGTATAAAAGCATTTGTAGATATATTTTTATTCCAAAATTGGAAAACTTGAATACAAGGAGTATTCAAGCTTAGGAAGACAATTTGGAAATAATTTATGACCGAAACCGAATGCACATCGCTGGATCATGTAAAATACCCAAAACGTAAAGTTTACAGTGTGAAGCCGTTTTAATTAAAAACGTGCCAAGCTATTTGTCACTGTAAAGTGTGTCGCAGTCTGACCGCGCTAGGAATACATCTTCATTAGATACCTAATAGGTATCAAGCGGCGTACCTATTCTCATGTCGCTTTTAAACCTCACTGAAAAAAGAAAAGGTTAGAAAAAGGTTGTTAAATACTCTTTGAAGCCTTCGTTACGTGTACAAAAATTATTCTTTCGTGAATAATTCATGTAAGGCTTATAAAGAATATAGGCGTGAACCTACCTACATACCTAATCCAAAATATTACATACAAGTAGATGTAATAAAAACACTATTTTGTACTATAATTGTCGATTCGATGATTTGTCATACTCTTGAATGAATGGAGGCGACATTAATGAAGGACTGGTTTTTTCAGGTTATGATCGCTGGTAGAATTTTTGTTTAGCGAGATAAATGTAATAGCATTCGTTGATATCCATATAATATAGTGACATATTCACCCCAAATAGGCAGGATTAATATGTCTCTTAGTCCTCCAGAATGGTAACGCAGAAGTGGTATCACGAGTATCACATGATAACGTGATGTTGCGGACATCACGATGTGCTTTTTATGTATATAGGGGACGGTTTCATTACCATTAAACGGATCGTCAGATTATTTACCATTCTAATTACATGAATAAAAGTTAAAATTGATATTCTGCATTACTTCGAATATTTATAATTTTGTTTGAAGTGTTAAAACTGAGATGCTATAAATTCTTTAAACAATATATTGCTGTGTATACTTTAAAACAATTAGGTTCAATAATAAGACTTAGTGGTCGCCCAATGATCAAAATTATATATATTTGAACATTATACGCATTTATAGTAGTGTGTGTAATGTTTATTTATTGATTTAATAAATTTTTAATGCATAATAAAAAATATATTAGCATTTTGCTCTCCTTCTCTATATAAACTGTAAGTTTGAGAAATTTCGTAGGCCGCGTCCGCGCAATTTTCGTAAAAAGGGGTACAAAGTTTTTGCTTCACGTATTAACATAATGATTCTTAGAATGGGTATGCCTGATTTAGTTTTTCTTCATTTATTAACTCGTGCTACATTGAAGACCTTATTTTTATCTGTTTTCAATTGACATTACGAACTACCGATTACTGTCTTATCATGGGTGACTAACGTAAATATTGATATACCATATTGTTAATATTTATAATGATTAATGACAAATTAGAAAAATATATAATATTTATTATTGTATTTTTAATAAGAATGATTAATGCTACAAATTTATTAAGCGATGACTCTTATATTTGCATATCTGTAAAGACTAAAAATAAATTTTAATAATATTTATTTTAATTATATCTTCGGTATATAAAGCGGTACGCATTTATGAAAAAACTAGTTGTACCCGCAGTTTCACTCGCGTGAAATTTATAACCCATGTGTTATTCTGATATATAACTATATTATTGTAAAGTTATATTTCATTTCATTAATTTATGGTGAGCATGTAATATATATTATAAACCAATTAATTTTCTTTTTAACATTGCTATTTTGACTTCTCATATTATGCATTCTATAAAGAAATTTAACATAAAGAATTCGGAGGTATAACGTCGTAAGAATGGCAATTTATAGATGGACCCTACACAATCACACAATTTGTTTCATCACAATTTATTCTGTGCTATCCGAGATCCTGTTTTTATAATCTTGCACTTTCTATTTGTCAGATGGATCATTAATTAGTTTCACATTAAATTAAAAACTTAATAAGCGTTTTGCAATATTTAGATGACAATCATTAAATGTTATGCTCTTTGTCTAAAATTAGGTACTTTAAAAAAGATATAAATAATGGTAGATGGGTGGTCTATTATATATAATAATTTTAGAGATAGGTTTAAAGAATAAGTGAAAGAACTAGGTACGAAGACATGAGATAATAATAATAAACACATTATCCGGCATAACATCAGTATTAGTACATCTTAGTATCCTACCACACTTATCACATCATGATCTTAGATTAGCCAACGAAAGTGTTTTGTTTATCGGTGTTCTATAGAGTGCATTTCCGCGGATGTGCTCAGGAAGTCCTTAACCTCTTTCCTCCAGCAACTCCCAGCAACCGTACAACGTAGAGAGCGGCTCCACTCACATACAGTTGACATCCTGCCGAGCGTACCTATCGATTTACATCATATTTCCTTATGCTGGCAGCTAAGGAGTGGAACTCACATCCCGCATCAGTGTTTACTGCCTCTTACAACACTGGGTCTTTCAAGTTAAGAGTGAGATGTTGGTGCCAAACAAACTGTTTTAGCCGATCCTTCAAACGGCAAGGCAATTTGTTCACTAGTGAGGTAATGGAGTGATTAGTTTTAGAGTACAATGGGATTGGCATGTACTTAGATGGTACAAAGTCCCTAAATTTAAAAAGAAATAAAAAAAAACTAAAATGTCAACAGTGAATAGGCATTATTTGAACTTTCGTGTAACAACTTAGATCTCATCATCAATAACACCAGGTAAGTTTGATATTGAAATTAATTTCTTGATGTAGAGGCCAAAGGCGCCGAAATTTCGTAATAAAAAAATGACTATCGGGGATTGCATTGATAGTAAGAGTAATTGTGTGATCGATTAATTTAATTAAAAATGAATATTGCAATTTACCGGTAAAACTACACTTAGTAGAATTTATAATAATGTATGTAATAAAAATGGTGTTGTCTAAATAAGTTTTGTTTATGTAATATGAATAAAGTGAATGATGAAAAATGACTGTTTGTAATTCTAAACTATTAGCAATTCACAAAATGGATATAAAAGTGTATATATGTGTACATTATTAGTTTTTAAAGAAATTGTCTATCTGTGTGTTGGTAATCTCTAAACGGCTAGACCGATTACTATTAGCGGGATGGCTAATGTTATAAGGAGTAAATTAGGCTACTTTTATTATAGAAATCTTATTTATTTTAATTCCACTAGGGCGATGCCACGGGTAACAGCTAGTTATTAATAAATAATTCCACAAAATAATTACTTATTCAAAACAATTTTAAGCTATTCTATTACCTCAAACGGATTTTCAAAGTATTTAGGCCACATGAGATTCCGAGAGGAATCCATCATAAAAGAATGAAAATCTCCATAAGTCCCCATAAGTCGACGTAGCGATGTTCGAAGTTCGTCGATCCTCGGAAAATCCACGCACCTACCTTATAATTTTCAGGAGAATATTTTCAGTGTTAAATTTATTACCCGCTTATTCTGCGTCTCGGTGTTTCCACTCTATTTTATTAATGGTTATGATGAAACGACTACGAATAAAATAGCTGTTTATTTTTGTGCATTTGCATGGATATCAGTGGACTCCAAAATGGCGTCATTAGTACTAATTTTAGGGCAAATTACTAAAAATACATATAATGACGAACATTTACTACTTGGGTAGAGATAGTTCGTTGTTGGTTATGCTGACTGGCGAGCATAACGAATGATTTTGAATCGATCACTTGATGTGTCGTTTGAATTAATCGACTAGTAACCGTTTGATCTTATATTTAATACCCATTTATTGGTTTATTGGAATAAATTAGAAGAGAAATCCTATGACATAATGATTTAAAAAAAAATTACATTTAAATTTTTATATAAATAATAATAGTTTTATTATGTAATATTATCTTATCTGTGGTATTATGATATATTTTGTATTTTTATTTTCAACTAGCTGACCCCGCGACTTCGTCCGCGTGGAATATAACTTTATTTTTCTAAAATAAATGTTGCTTAAGTTACTTCTTATTACATCAGCTACCTGCCAATAAAAGTCCAGTCAAAATCGATCCAGCCATTTCAGAGATTAGCCGGAATAAATACAGACAGACAGACAGACAAAACATGTAAAAAAAATATTTTGGTGTATGTACCGTATTTATATTCATATGCATGTAGTAAAAAACGATTGTCTAAATATTACAAACAGACTCCAATTTTATTTATATGTATAGATAGACAAAGAAAAAGAAATGAATTATTTACGATTCGTACGCGAAGTCATGGAGATAACCATAGTATTCTATAAAAATAAGTAATAACTTTACCAATATTATTTGAAAATCCGCAGTTCCATTTTCCCAGTTGCTAGTATGTCAATAAAATTTATTAAACTTATGAATTTAGTTTCGTAAATACAGCGTACGTATAGAGAATGAAACGCTTGCTACTATATACTAAAATTAAGTTATAACTTTAACTTTAAGTGCCTCGCCTTCTATCTGATTTACACTACTAAGTTTCCGACCATTGGAAATTTCCCAGTTGCACTTAAATTAATGGGACTTTGTTGTAACTTGCATTTATGTTTTTGACACCATTATAAGCTATCTGCATTCATTCAATACCAATATTTAATATATTGGTTGAAGAAGTCTTCTTAGTATATCTGGAACAATCAGATGGATTTTAAAAACTCTTTTTACATTTGATATTCCACGAAGACGATTATAAATGACTAACCCTGGATAATTAACACAATGCCATCTAGTCCC